ACTAGGAAGAAGAATTCCTGTAATTCAAAGGACAGAAGTAAGTTGGGAGCAGTGTTGTATGGCTAAAATGACATGGCCTCTTTCCCCACCCATTGAACAAAATTATCTTGAAGGTCAATTAATACCTAAAATAAATGTCAGTGGGGTTGCTGGTGATTGCTACACACTGTCAAACCCAACTAAAAATCTGGATGAGATAATGACTAGCCTGTTGTGTGTAAGGGGTGGGAAAAAAATATTTTTTTTTTCCTTGTGTATGTGTATGTGAAGCTGTCAACAAAAGTGGCATATTGGTGGTTTCATTCTGCTAGCATGGGAGCAGATTTGCAGGTACTGAATAGATGACAGTATCAGAATGAAAATTCCCCTGCCACTAGTTAGGGTAATATCTTGGATCCATTCTCAGCAGATATAGTATTGAGACATGAATTGAGTTCAGAACTAAATTCAGATGTTCAACAAGTGGAAGTGGTTGTGGCTTGAGTACACTTTCTTGGAAATAGAATAAAAATTTTAAGTGATCGGATATGTACTTTAGCTGAGATATTAAAATAAATAGACTTCTGTGCCTAAATAACATCTGAAAGTGGTATATCTTGATAGTTCCAGAAAAGGTAAATCTCTCAGAATTTAAAACAGTGCCAAAGGAGCTCAGTTGAAAGAAAGTACGTGGACAGAAGGATTCAGACAATAATTGAGTTGCTTGTTCAAACAGCTAGAAAGCTACAAGCCTATAGCTGACAGGGGAGGCTATGCTGTTATAAAAATTAAGGAAAATACTACATTGCTTGCACTAAAAGGAAGTTGAAAAGTTGAAAGTTTAGTTATAGATGAAAAAAGCAAAAGAAATTAAGAAGAAATCAGCAGGAAGTCTAAGGAAAATTTCCAAGTGCATTACTAGCAAAAATATTTTAGCAGTTATATGAATCTGTCATAAATGTGTGTGGTAGGTTTGTCAATAATAGAGACAAAAAGAAAAATTATTCAGTAAACATTAGTATTCTAGGAAAAAATGAAACAATTGATTTTGCATTGTCACATAGAAATTGTGCAATGGTTTTCTGAACAAACAAAAAATATTGTGAAAAAATCTGTTATTAAAATGCCTACTTTGTAAAACAACTGGTTGAGACAGCTTGTGTTCGAGAACTTGGAAAGAACTAGTTAAGGAACTGTGAAACACATCCATGTGTTTATATTTTCAGTAAGTGTGTCAGGATACAGAGGAAATTCTGCAGAACTGGAAGAAAGTTAATGCTGCATTAGTATTTTTAAAGGATAAATGGAATAAACTGGATGACAATACTTTATTACATCTGCTCTACTCCTGCAAAGTAGGACTGCTTGGTAATATGAAGATTGCTGCCTTGACATCAGTCTGAGTAAAAATACCAGAATATTATATATAGGATCAAAGAGCTAGAAGAGGGTTTATAAATACTTGTCAATCTAAAGGGCTTTTTTGAAAAGACATCTTGTTGCAACATCAGTTTGTCAAATGTGTTTACCAGTGTGACAAAAGTCCTGTAGGATATGCTACCTTCAGTTTCAGTCACATTCTTAAATTGATAACTCCACATGTGTACTTAAGTGAGTGCCTGGTGTAAATTGCTGTGTCACGTTTTGGTTTAAAACACAAGTGTAAACCAGAATCATTGTCAATTAACTCTATCTATAAGTTTCTTGTAAATGTGAGTTCTGGGTTATGTTCTATTTAGGAGTTTAGAAATTAGTCAGAAGACAACTTTAAAACTGTACTCATGATCTGCTGACAACTTACAGATTAAGGTAGGAAAAAAAAAGGCAGAATTCAATGGAACTCACCAATGAAACTAGGTATCTCAAAGGGAACTACAGTGGAGGGTGGGAATACATGTCCTGGAAGGAAATATGTCACATGACACTTGATGTCATGGTAGACAATTGATGACAATAATTTGTTTTGCCAAAATGTGTGATGAGATTGGTGCATGGATTAACAGGGAGATCTCAGGAGAGAGAGAATGGCTGTTCTGCATAGCATAATATTACTGTGCACTGATGTCTGCCTTTCTGCTTTCATCCCTGGAAAACTGGAGAGGCCTGTAGAAGATTCCAAAGTAGCACCTTGTGAGCCTTGGGAAAACTGTATTTTGTTGTATTGCTCCCTTTTGACCATTACCTGCAATCTGTCCAGATAGAGTACAACAAGAGTGATGAAGTAAGCAAGGGACTTGGGGTTGAACCAACTAATGAACAAAGAATAAGGGAGTTTAATAGCAAGCAGCAGGAGATCCCAGGGATATTTTCAAAGAGCAAGGTTAATAACTTAAGGCTGTAAATACTCATGAACAAGAGAGGCTATTTATTGAAAGTGAAGTTTTAGGATCATTGAGAAATACTTGAAAATACTTCCTACTTTAGGTAGCAAACAAAGAGTCTTCTTCAGGCTTAATATGACTTCCTGACAGAACTATTAGTCTGTACATTACTTTATCTTCTCAGAGAAACAGTGAGAAATGTAAAGTTGCTGTTTTGATATTAGAAGGAGAATACTACTAGAAAATGCTCCAAAGGAAATTCCTGTTTTGTCAGAAAGATGTCTTGGCTGATCTGGAATTGATTTCCCACCAGGAGTTCTGTAAGTATTTTCTGTAATTTTCTTCTCTTCTGTAAGGTAACAGCAGGATGCAGGAGAAAAATCACCCCTGCAGGTATCTTACTGCTTTTTTTTTTTTCCTGTAAGATAGTGAAAGAAATGGAATTACCTTCTCAGTGCTGGAGGTTTCTTATTTTACTGAAAAAGAGATGGATTTGTGCTGTGCTGTTAAAAGATCCCATCTTTTTCCTGTGGCAGTTGAATAAGTTACACTTTTTCTTCCTGATCACTTTATGTTTCTTAATTACAGACTTAGCTTAAAATCATTAATCTCCTTCCTCTCCATCTTATATTTCTTTTCACTTAAACAATTTACTTTTACTGATCAGGATAGAGAAATCATGGTGGTGAAAAGTAATATAATAGTCATTTTTTTTTTTAATGCTGAAATTTATGTCATACAAAAATTACATGCAAATATGTGTGAAAGGACATGATGTGGGATTCAGATATCAGAAGCATTGTGGATTATCAGAAGCATCTTAGTGACTATGTGCACTAGATTTTCAACTCAATCAAAGTTGATAAAATGAGAAAGAAAAATAATTGGGAGATAAAGTAAGAGCATAAGCTGGACTATAGGCTGCTAAGCTGCTACTGTGAGTCTTCTTATGCTCAGCCATAGCCAGAAATTCTTTGCTCTGATGAAATGAATGAATGACTGGGGACCTATTTCTGTGCATGCATTGTCTATCACTGAGTCTAGGGTCTTCTGTCCAAGTATACTTTGTCAGTGAACTTGGCTGTAATGACTGCCCTTCCTACCTCTCAGATGTCCAGTTAGGTAAGCGGCATCTTCCCAGGACAGATGACTATGGTTGTTACATGCATTAGAATGAGCTCCTGCTGTTTTTTGCCAAGTTGAGTAGGGTGCTACATTGTTTTGTATCTTGTTTGTCTCAACCACCACCAATGGCAGTGGAGGTATTTTCCACACTGAGGGAGTAAATTCATGTTTCAAGCAGCTTAGGGCTCCTTTGCTGGTAATATGCCACTGGATCTTGTGCTTGTTAATGAAAAACAAGAGGAACACCCCAAAGGTGTTTGTGGGGGAGGAGGGTTGGGTGTGACTGTGTCAAATATTTTGTTTAAGTTTTAGTTGTATCAGGAAAATTGTCTCTAGCAGAACTTCTGCTATGACTGTGCTATGTTTGTGGGTCCCATGATACTCAGGCTATTTCCAAAGTATACAAGCAGCTTGGAGTGTGTGAGGAGACGAGTGGGTGGAACAGAATTTCCAGAAAACCCTGAGGAAAGTAAATACTGAAGCTATAGCAGTGCTGAGTGAAGATCGGGAGATAAAAAACTGAGCAATATCTCAAAAGACAGAGAACATGAGTTGGGAGGAGCAGACTTCAGTTGTCAAAAGCCCTTTACATAGCAGAATTTCTTTTAATATAATGAAATAGATTTATTTGCAATACGTGATTGTTTATTAGCATGGATTTTTCATAAGCCTGGCTAAATTTTGGCCACATATTTGCCATTCTTTTTGTGGATTTCATCCTGTTACTGAAGATACCTTGCTTATCAGTGCAGTGCCTGTGTCTTATATGCAGTGCAAAATCAACTTTTCCTATACTAATGTCCCTAAATATTTAGAAACAGAGGTGGGAAAAAAATATAGTGTTTGACAATTGATCTGTGGAGACCCTAAATCTGTCATCAGTACAGCATGTGTCTCCTGCAGCATAATGCTGTTCTGTTCTAAAATTACTCTTCCTTGGAACCCCTTGAATTACTGTCTTCAGTAACATAGCAAAAGATGGAAGGATGCAGCATTTTTATGCTATGAAACATTTCATGGCATTTTACTCACTGTGTGATGCATTGTCATATATACTAAAACTAAAATTGTTATAACAACTCAAAATCTGACCAGATATTGCTGAAAACTTGTATGCAATAATGAGTGAAACATATGAAGATATGTTCAAGTTTGATGGGTTTTTCTTTTCATAGATACTGATGCAAGTTTTCGTAGTATTATTGTTCAAATTATCTCTGCTGAAAATATCTTAGATGTTATCAGTGGCATGTCTGTACATCTGTATCTCAATGGCAATTCATGTGAATAAGATTCCTGTCCCCTCTGACATGATTTGATATTTTTATATTGCTGAACTCATAACCCAAAAGGCCAAAGTTTGAAAGCAATTAATTTTGCATCTTGCTGCCTTTGAACACCTTTTGACAACAAATATTTTTGGTTTTGCCAACTTGTTTGACTTCTAGAAAAGACCAGGGATAATCTTAGATACGAAGTACTCCAAGCTTAGTGCGGCACTTGTGTATTTTCACGTGCACAGGTTAAATAAATAACAGAGCTGTTGTTGGTATGAATTGTTCTGGAAACATCAGCATGCATGGCAATGAAGGTGAGAGTGATGTAGCAGGGCTTTGATATATATATATATATATATATATATATATATATATATATATATGCTGAACTTTATAATATGGGAGCAGTTTTGTAAAGCAACATCAAAAATATCCCTTCCTCTTTTTATTTCATTATAGCTGTTGTCTTCTGCTCTGAATCACATGAAGAAAACTCTTCTTCACCAAATCCAACTCAGAAGCTCTCCCTGGTAAAAAATAAGATGGTTTCATTGCATCAATCTTCTACACCAGGTACCACAAGTCCTCTTCTTTACATCCTCCCTATTTCTTCTTCAGAATCTAGGTGTAAGATAGGTGCTGGCATTTACAAGCACCTCTTACCAGAAAGCTATGTCACTGTATTTCTGACTGGAACTAGAGCAATGTCTCAGAAAGGCCAGTGAAAACTGAAGGGAATTCCTTATTTCTGTATTAAACAGAAACAAAACTCCCCACCAAACTCAAAACATAGTGAGCAAGCCAAACCACAAAAAACCCCAAACAACCCTCCACAGAAGAAACATACTGCCTCCCCCCTCAAACCAAAAAATCCCCAACACAGCAGGAAAATGGAAAAGAAAGAAAAAGGAAGGAAAAATAAAACCATTTCCATCACCACACTGAAATCTACCAGATTTGGGATTGGGAGTTCTTGAAATAAAAGCTAATTAGTGGAGCTCCTTTCCCACTACTATAGAACAAATTTTATTTCTTTTTGATACTGAATGACGCTTTTCTCCAAATGGACTTTTATTTTCAAGGCATTGTGGAAACCAAGTGAGCTGTGAGGTTTTTTAACATGTGTTCACTGCCTCTTGTCCTGTCTGTGGACACTAGTGAGAATGCCAACTTCCACTTCATTCCCTGTCATCAAAGTGTTTGTACACATTGATAAAATCCCCCTGACTGTACTCTTCTGCAGACTTAGCAATCCCAGCTGTGCCCTCTCCTCTTACACAAGATGCTCCAGTTCCTCAGTCGGGACCTGTGCTGGACTTGTTCCTGTAGATCAGTATGTCTCTTGCATTAAGGAGCCCAGAGCTGAGCACAGAACTCCAGCTATGGTCTCACCAGTGCTGAATAGAGAGGAAGGATCACCTCTCTTGATCTACTTCCCAATGCTGCCCAGAAGGCTGTTGGCTGCCTTTGGTGCACTGCTTGCTCATAGAGAGCTTGCTGGTCACCACACTCCCAAAGCCCTTCTCTGTGGCTGCTTTCCAGCCAGTCAGCCCCCAGCACGTACTGCTGCACAGGGTTATACCCCCAAGGTGCAGGACTTGGCTTTTCCTTCAAGGGGCTCCTGTCAGCCCAATCCCCAGCCTGCTGAGGCTGCTCTGCGTGGCAGCACAGCGCTGGGGTGTGTCAGCTGCTCCTGTCTTTTGTAACCTCTGTGATCTTGCTGAAGGTGCACACTGTCTCCTTGTTCAGGTTGTTAATGAAGATGCTAAACAATAAAGAAAGGCCTCTGGGTGTTAGAAAAGCCATACATTCCTTCCAGGGGGTGGCAAGGTGACCTAGCCTTGCCAGAGGAATGTTCCTTGCAGTAACATCTTCCAGATGGTATCTAATTCTTTAAAGTCCTTTCTGACATACCCTGGACTGTCCATGAGCTTTTTTCAATCCAATCTTCTTTGGAGCATTTTTGTAATATCTTAAAATATATTCTTTGCTGATTGCAGTAATATAGATCTATTTCTCTATTATACCTTTTTTCCTTTTAATTTGTCATGTTCTTTCTTTTTTGCTGACTTGTACTTGAGGTTCTCCAAGTTCATCAGCAAAGCTGGATATGAAACACCTGTAAGGTGGGACATAGTGGTGTTAGAGGTTTCAGTTTTCAGTGTTCTCTTTCACTGTAAACACAAGTGTACCCAGTTCTCCTACTCTGTGATTTGTGCTAAAAAGCAGCTTATTGTTAATCCATCACAATGCAATGCATATAATCTATTCCCAGAGAAAACAGTCTTTTTTCTACTGGATGTCAAAAACTTTCCTGATCAGTTTCAGACTCTTGGAGGTATTCAGATTTCTTTGGCCTCAGGTTGTGGCAGACAGGCATTATGAAGCCCAGAGTGTTGGGAATTAGGTGCTTTTCCAGGGAAATTTGCGTTCACCTATCTCAGCTGGGAACCACTTTTTCATGTAAGACACAGTCAAAGGACTAAGTCTGCATTACAGTCCTTGCCTCTGCAAGCTGAGTTATTAGTAAGGTTTGATTAAATTACTTTGTCATAAACAATAGTTTCAAGTAACTGTCTTCTTGAAAAAGGAAATTTTTCTTTCCTGGGCTTTCACTTTGGTCTCTTTCACGGTTATGCTCTTGTGAGAGAAATTGCTTTCTGGGTTTTGCTGCCAACTAAAAAAATTATCAGATAAAAATATTATTTCTACTAACAATAAGTCTGTAGGTACTGAGTTAACCTGTCAAACCTCAATAAATTTGCAACAATACAGCAGGTTTGGGTCAGGACTCTGCTTTGTCTCACACACCTATGGAGTTTCTGAGCTATTGAAATCCCTGAAGTTTTTTTATTGAATCATCAAACCATAGCCTGGAGCTGTGAGAAAAAAAATGTGAGACATTTTTCCCTAGCTCCAACAGAGCCAGGAGAGTGGCTGGTGTCCCCATTCCTGTGTGCTGCTGGTATCTAGCGTTGCATACACACATGCATACACAATTTGCCAGTTCATCTGCTTGTGGTTTCCTTGTAAAAATAATGGGCTGAACAGTCCCCAGACCTTTCCTAAGCTGTATGCATTATGAAGGTATTTGGATGGTTGGCCCAGGTGTCAGTTTGAGAGAGGCAGCAAACTCCAGTATGAGCAGGCCAGAAAGAGTTGGGGAGTGTCCAAAGCAAGGGAGGAGAAGTGTTTGGGTGGGAGACCACAGTCTATGCCAACCCAAAGTTATGTGCAACTCTATAACATCTGTGTTTATTTTTCCCCTGCTCACTGAATGTTGTTTTATAAAAATGAAGTTAGAATTAACTTCAGTAATTAGGAGAAAGTTAGTCTGCTTTTGCTGTCACATTCAAAAGATGCTTCCTTTTCTCCTTTGTCTGAAAGTTTAGTTGAAATATAGGCAATCTTCTGGAGGTTCTTATGTTTTTATTTTTGCCGTACCTGTGCAGCCACATTTCCTTGTTATATCTCTGACCTTAATTGTGCCCTTCCTACCTGCCTGTACTCCTCCACAGGAATAGGACTACAAAAGGGCTAACTTTGTGCCATTCACATTTGCAATGTTTAAATACCCTCTGAACATCAGGACCCTAAGTGTGAATGTTTAGTCTCTTAATATTTCTTGCTTGGCTTGGGGACACTCCAGTTATTACTGTAATATTATTATTACTACTGAAAATAAAATATCATGCAAATTAATATCAGCTCTATTCAGCTCCACTCTGTGTGGGAGAGCTTTGTGCAGCTAACATCCCTTCAGGGAGTTTATCTTAGATTGATGAGAGAACAGTGAATTACTTCTTGTCTGGTTTATAATATGCTGATTATGAAAAATTTTGGCCAAGATGATCTAGTGTTTTTAATACTGTGAGCAAACTCTGGAGTTTGTTAAGAAGTTAGTCTTATCTATCTTGCTAGAGGAAAGTAAAACTATTGAAAAAGGACAAAAATAAAAAAATTATGTGAAACTTGCATTGCTCATCTATTTTGATTGAGACCATGTCCATAGACCCCTGTTCTATTGCTAGGAGAGGTTTGCCCTTAGAGTATCAGTTCTTTCTTTCTGCCAAAATGCTAAATCCATACAGTTTCAATATCCTTGTTGATATTATTGGTATTATTCTCATTTGGGACTTTGAGTACATGTGGTCTAGACCTTCAACTGATATAAATTCATTGTTGATACCAGTGGGAGGAATTCAACTTACATTCTGCCAAGAATTTGCAGGTTAGTTTTTCATTCTTTTATGTTCCTTGACCTGCTCTGGGAGGGATTCTGCTGCTATAGCCCAGGACAAAATTTCCTTTTTCACTTCAATTCTTCTATTTCTTGGGAGATATAGCCCCCATACCCTGTACATTTGGTCACTCATGTGCCCCTTGGGCTGGGATAGGCCTCACTGAAACCTTTGGTTGCTCACAACAGAAATCTCTTGTATCATCGGCTCAAGCTGTTCATGGGTGACGTCCACAGACAGTTTTGGAAAACCAGACTGGGTGTTATCTTCCATTGGTGTCCTGGCATCCCAGGAAAGGCAGCAGATACTTCTGGAAAACAGTTCCTCCCATGGAGATGTTGAAGGTAGGCAGAGCTACAGTTCCCCTCGAATGGATGCCTACTTTTGCCCAGCCCTGGCTGCAGCAGGAGTCAGCAGGCTGAGGCCTCAGGCCCATGTCACTAAAAGTGCCACCATGTGCTGGTTCTGGTGCAGGGTTCCCAACGTCATTGCCCGAGAGTCAATAAGAAAGAACCATGTAATGCATGTGTGCTGCCTCAGTTGTGTACGGATGTACCCTCTAAAGAGCTGGCCCCTTTATATACTCATTTTCTATCTCCCCATTTTGGAATAAGCTGCTTTTATTTACAGGGACTGTAAATAAAATTTTTCTCTGGAAATTCAATCCTATAGTAGCCAGAGCTGGCTCCACTTGTCTGCTGTCTGACTGGCAGTCTTTTTTTCTGTTAGACACATCTTCATGCTTTTTTTGGTTTCTTCTCTTCTGATTTCTTCTATCATTTCTTTACTTAAACCCATAATTTTTACTTTATTCTCTTCTTTTTTTTTTTTTTTTTTTTTTTTTTTTTTTTTTTTTTTTTTTTTTTTCAGATCTCTCTCTCCCTCTTTCTCTCTCGTTTTCAGCTATTGCTCAGTTCCTTCCTGGCTATTCTTTCCACATCTTCTTGCTAATTTCACTGGTAATCTGTTGGATTTTCTGGGATTAATTTCTAATATCCTTTTTTACCTGCTCAAAGCTGCCCTTTGTGCTTGAGTATTTGACAGGCCTCTGCAGCTGCAGCTCCATTCCACAATGTAAACTCATAAAATGCCCTTTTGCTACACCTTACTGGTCAGACCAAGCTTTGCTGGTCATCACTGCAGCATCTCTGGAACAGATCATAGATGTTGTTTAGCAGTTTATTTGAGCACTGCAAAACAATTCTATGTGAAGTCAAGATTATCATCTCTCTAAAAGTGATGGCATTTAGATTTATTAGAATGAAGTTAGCTTAATTGGAAGTTGGCACAGACGCTGGTATAACTTTTTTTTACTGAATGAAATAAAACACTGGTAAGCTCAGAGAGTTTACTCTTAAGATTTTAAACAGGGGAGGAGACCAAGTCCTGTTTGAAATCAAGATAGAAAGGAGGACAGAAAAGAGATCAAACCAAGTTAGGAACTATCAAATACCCTTCCTTTCCTCCCTCATTACAGGGGAACTTTAAAGTCTTGGTACAATTAAAAAAAATTGACCATGCAGGCAGAACAGAATTTATTTCTAACACAGTGATTGAGCTGCTTCTTGCTAGGCAGATAGCCTGAAAAGAGCATTCTCTCCATGATTAAGATTTTAACAACATGGGTTGTTAAGCAGAGATTACCCTGAAGTGTTCCCACTTTACAGGGACTTTCCACAGGGAGTAGGAGTTCTACAAGCTTTTCTGTCTTAACCAAACACTGCTGCACAATTTAGAACACGGGGGACAATGAGCAGATCACCTTGAGATAGATGCAAATGTGCAGTACCTAGTGTAACTACTGAAAATTACTACTAAGTGCTGGTCTTCAGATCAGAGTAAAAACTTGGACATAGAAAAAAGGTACGTAGCACTTTTTTCAGACAATCAGACACTCCAGGAAATCGTGCTTGGGTCCCTTTTGTCACCTCTCAGTTCCATGACCAAGCTATACTTCATCATAAACTCCAGCTGCACCAGACTACTTCAGTGAAATCTCCTCTTTCCGGACCTAGAAATATTGTCCTGATGGTGTTTTCTCCTTCAGGATCCATCAGTTACACAGTTCCTAAAAGCTTAGATGTATGTCACATGTAAGAGAAAGTTTCTCTCCTGTTCAACTCACTGACTAGTAGGATTAATCATTACATTAGTAGTATTGAAGCTGCCACTACTTTTTCATACATAACCCTTAATGAAAGAAAAATAAACAAATGGACTTTTTAGTACCATGTTCTCTGAACAAGTAGAGCAAAGTCACAAAGTCATGATGTTTATTTTTAAATACCACACCTATAGATCATGGGTGTTCTGAGTTATTACCATTAGAAGGAGAACTGCTGAGGGAGTGACGTGTTTGAGATTCTATGTATTTACAAAAATATATAAAATTTAATTTCTCATTATGTCAGTAAAGCTCAAACATCAGGAGCCTGTAGCCTTGCTTGCAAGGCCAAGCCTTCTTTGTCTGGTACTTAAGTGAGAAAACTGTTTTCACTTCCTCAGGGTTATGGTTATGGTGCTTATTCAGGTCACATCTACTATATGTTTCTTACTTTTTAAAAAAACTTTTTTTCTTAAATGTTTTTACTATTTTGCTTATTCCACCTTTTCATCTTTACCACACAGAGCCAGAATCAGCCACAGTTGAAAATTCTTGAGTCCTGTGTGGTTTTGGGTGTTTTCACATGCTTGTGTTTGTTGTGGACCACAATTATTTCAGTGTTCTTAGCCAAAACTGTTTCAGTAAGAAGCTAGTTTCTTTCAACTCTAAGTACTCACACTTCATTGAAAATAAAAAATGCATCATTTGGGGAAGGGATAATATTTTCACTTTCTGTAGTCAATAAGCCTAGCTGATTTTGTTCTGTTTTCTTTCTGGAATGGCCACAGTAATCTCGGTAGATCAGAAAACAAAAAGTTTGTGGCCATGTGCACACAAGGATTTTCAGTTAGCCAACCTCACAAAACTGTTTATTGTTTAGTTTTTTGTGTCTTCCCCCTTTTTTTTGGAGGGGTGGTGGTGATAAAATGCTCCACCATCTTCTGAGACCCTTGAAAAAACTTGCAGTCTTTGACACTGCTACTAATGTGGTTGTTTTTATCCACAAAAGTTATTTAACTTCTACTGTACAGATGACAAGGGAGTAGCCTGGTAAGTGTTCTCAGATAATGTCTAAATGCGTGCTGACAACAATGAGCAGAGCCCTTTCGATTAAAAAGTGTATCTAGAAAGGGTGAGGTTTTCCAGCTGCTGTACATGACTGTGAATTTTGAACACTAAGCTGGGAGTATGATTCAGTTAGTTAGTGCCTCTTGTGCCTCTCTTGAGCTTGCACCCAAAAATATACTGTGTCAAAGAATAACCCTCCAAGAGTTTGGTGAAGGCCGGAGTGGTAGGCATGTGTTTTGCGCTCTCTATTTCCTTTTAAGTCCAGTGGTTATCACCGGATATATGTGAGGACTTGCAGACAGCAATTTCCTGTGTGTATAAAAGTAAAGTAAAACTTCTAATCTTTATGTTCACTGATTGAGTCTAGAAGCATCTAGCAAACACAGCTTTGTGCAAAAACCCATGCAGTGAGACCCCCTAATTTAGAAAATATTTCAGCTTTCATGTTCTGCTTTATTACATTTTTCAGTCCTAATGAAAAAATGGTTATTCTTTACATAAAATATTTCCTAAAATTAATCATCAGTTACCTTTGTTGGATTTTTCATACCCAACAAAGGATATATTTTCTCATCACATCATAGAAAGGATTGGTAAGAAGAGGGTGGAAAACATCTGTTTAGCAGAGAAGATTGAGAGGCTAATGAAAAGTGAACCTACAAAATAAGATTTGGAATTAAAAGTTTTCGGGGTGAATCTTGAATTTTCTTGCCTTAAGCATTAGATAGCTTGCAACACCAAACTTTCTACCCATGCAAATTTCTCCAGATTATGTTGAGCCCTAATAGTTCTTCCATGCATACAGATGAATTTTAACATCTCTTTTTAGAAGAAGAGTAATATTTCCTCCATACTTAAGATCTGGTTTGACATAAAATCAATAGTAAAGTTATTGCCAAGCTTGGTTTATCTGGAAGCCTGCTGCAATGATCCATCTTCTGCTGGATCAACACTGGGCTTCATTCCTGATTCCATTAAGAAAATTACATTGGCTCTGATGAGCTTCCATTTCAATGGTGGAACCAAGCAAAAGAGGTGTAATTATTTACAGCATTAGAATTCTTGCTGCAGTTGGATCTAGGCTGGGAGTCTTTCTCTGAAGGGGAGTACCTTGATGATGAAGAGACTTCATACACAAAAGCACTCTATGTGATGCAAAGCCACTTGTCATTTTTGCAGCCTTTGGATCTAGACAGCTTTTTCTGCCATGTTATAAATGGGGAAAATTTCAGCAGCAGAGATATTTCAGTGCAGTACTGAGATGTTTCGTGGGAACTTAGTGCTCTGGCTCAGAAGAGCTACCAGTTCACAGAAGCAGTGGCTTAAGATGGTGGCCTTGTTCTTCCACCAGATACCACATCTCTCCAAGCAGAGATGGTAGAATGGACAGTCTGTCTTCCCAAGTCATGGCATTTCAGATCTTGGCTTATTGACTTAGATGACTAGTGGTTTTACTTATTTATTTTGATGTATCATTCTAGAAGCAGCAAGTTCCAAAGTGTCTGGCTCATAAAGCATATAGGATTAAAGTGCAGCAGCTGAACTAGTCATTGTTTTCAGCTGTGGGGCTTTTTAGTTGCTACTGCTAAATGTACCTAGCTGTGAATCACAGGCTGTGTGCCACAGGTTCTGCACTCAGTGTTGTGTTAACACTGGCAATACTGTGATGTCTCAGCTGGAGTGTGGGTTGTACCTTGGTAGAGGTACTAGAACTATGCCTAATAGCTAAATTCAAAAGATTTAAAGATTGCCCTTGCCGTTACTGGCTCATTGCACCAATTTGATTACGGCTTATTCATTCTTGTGGTCAACAGGATGCAATGGAGTGATGAACAGAGCTGTGTCACGTAGCAGAAGTGACTCAGTTCTGGGTCAGTGCTTCATGGTCTTGGATGTTGTCCCACAGTGTGGCAGGGGGGATGTATTTATAAGAAAATTTATGGGATATATTTATAGGTGCTGGATGTTCCCAAAGCTGCACTGTAATACAAATTGAAAGCAAATCAGTTATTCTTCCATGTTGGGAAGTAGAGATGGTGCTGTTGCAATTCATGGCTGTACCTTTCTGAAGATTAATTAAATTATAATGAACTGTATATTATGATAGGACAGAAAATAGAGGAAATAGGGTCATCTTTGTAAGAAGAGCTCAGTTTCATATGAGTTCAGGATATCTGTGGGTATTTATGTGTGTGTACAATTGTGAAACTGAGATATGGGTAGATGCCATAGAAGGGATAGTAAAAAATTATCCAGACAAAGTTATATAATTATGGAGGGAAGAACGCAAGAGAGGGTGATAAAAAAATTAAAGTTGCTCTGGAGTTTTTGCAAGTTGCAAGTACGGTTCTGTGATTTTTATATTGAGTCCAGAAGAGATGTGTTTGTAATCTGGGTGTTGCCTTCTAAGGTGTTTCTGGTGCAAGACAAAGGCTACATGACCACTTCAAGGCAGCTGAAGGAATTTCCTAAATGAAAAAGTAATCCTAGGAGCAGAGCTGATCAACATGTCATAACACTGGCCTGGCCTTCTTATTACTCCACTGGCAAACACTTAGGTCACTTGTCCAGAGTGGTCCCAGTAACGTCAGCAGGGTATAGCATGTGGGTAAAATTATCTCTGTCTGATACTATTTTCAGAAAAGAGCTTAGAGCAACGATTCCTTTCTCACTAGCCTTGCTCCAATCCATTTACAAAATAATAACACATATATTTAACTGCGCATTGCTGTCTTGCTAACATAAGATACAGGAACAGAGTTGGAAACAAAAATAAAGTAAAAATATTTTTAAGAATTCTGCTGTAGTTTTTAAATGATACCTGGATACCCTGACTTCCATCAGACTTAATTTGAGTGAGGTACTTCAAAAATTCCCTTTTGGTATTTCTCTCTCTAGCTTTTGATGTCTGACAACCATCTTTAAAATTAGGGTGCAAGGGACTATTTGTCTTTTTCCAAACTGCCACAAGTGCTGCACAATTGAGAAACCTTTGCAGTCTAGATTTGCAGGTTATGGCATTTACTCTGTAGTGAAATGTAAATGGCACAAGTAATCTGCATTTCCTGGAACAGCACTTCTATCCCTTGCTTTGTGGGTGCACTGTGGTTTGCTAAGGTGGAAAATCAGACAGAAAAGACACAGATAAAGGTTTTAATTCTTGACACAACCAAGCAACATTCAGGGTCAGACATTTACTTCCAGAACACACAATGTCAGTGTTGTCTTGAGGAGATCCAGAGTCTTGTGCAGCTGCTTGGTTGATCTGTACTTTCAAGAGCAAATAGAACACAGCCGTGTATGTGGAAAGAACATATTGGGTAGTGTGTCCAAAACTGGTGATAATTTAAGATCCATTTAAGAATCATTGGGAATGGTTGGATCTCTTCATCATTAGCAATAGGCTCTGCAGCAAAGATAACCTTACATGAGCTTGCTAGGTTGAACATCACTCGTTTTATTATAACACCCATTTGTTATCTTGCTATTTGCATTCATCAATCCATTTCCCACATGGATACTATTAATTCTCTTTAGTAGAGAATCCATGGAATCCAATGTGCTGTGTGTATGTCTGATAACATTCTGTTGTCCTCAGGATGAAATGGAAACACCTGGTGGCCCAGATTGGACGAATAGAAAGACCTTTCAAAATCACCCTGGTGTATTCAAACTGTGGAGCACAGGAGGTTGGAGTACTGGCACTGGGGTCCTTGAAACTCAGGAACTGCTTTCATGGTATGCTGCAACACAGATGGGTTTGGAATAACCAAATGCATCCTCACCAAAATAGGGGATAGGATAGGACTTAGAAGAAGGATGAGAAACTCAGAAATATAGAACTAATTCTAGCGATTCTCTCTGCTTTTGAGCTTTGCTTTGTTTGAGCTTTGCTTTGTTTGATCTTTATACGCAAAAAAACCCAAAACCAACTAGACTTATGCTGAATCCAACAACAAGGATGAAAAAGTCTTTACCTAGATTATTTAAGCATTCAGTGTTTTTCTCTCTTAAATAATAAAGAACAACAGTCTACCCTATGTAACCAAAGCCTTTTCCATACTTGGGTTTATCTAACAACTCTGAAGAAAAGAAACATTTATCTGCCCCTGGTGGGGTCTGTTTGCTACTGCCAGGCTGAGAATTTCTATCTAAAATGAAAATAATCAGAATGTAATTATTTTCTCTAAAGTACAGAGTGTTCAGCTAAGACCTCAGTTTTACCTGGAGTTTACAGTTTTGTTCTGAATGTCATGCAAATGATCCTCAGTGGCAGTGCAGAACCTTGCTAATGTCATTTAGGCTTCTTGGAAGTGCAGGAGTCTGTCAGCACAGTAGTCTTCAGGTTGGGGACATAATCATCTTCAGTTCCTGAATTTCATGAATTAATATAACGTTATTGTTTCCATTTTGCAGACTCCGTAGAAATAGCCTGGAATGTAATGTAAAAAGAAAAAACTATTGTGAGCATGGTTTTGATCTTATTAGATATTTAATTCTAGTCATTATTCTTTTAATTTAACATGCTATATTTTTAATGTCATTTTTTTGACAGTCCTAGAGTTTAGAGGGGATGCATACAGCCTGAAGCACTGTGCTCTCAGTCTCTAAATAACCTCGTGTATGTATCTGGCACAAAACAGTGTCATGAAAATTTATTTTTTCAGAGTATGTACCTGGATTGCTGCAGAGGTGTTCTTTTCTCTTTCTCCTGCAACTGGTTCCCTAACTTTTGCATTTTTTTCAGAGTAGTAGTGATCCCGATGTAACTGCTGTGCAGAGTGCTGCTAAAGGGCACCAGGTCCATAACAGGCCTAGGCACATATGCATCCACAGGACAGGCTGCGGGTGCATTGAGAGTCATGCTTTTGGGAAATATCAAACTTAAAAGTCATGTTCAGCCTGGCAGATGGGTACCTGTGAAGTCAGTCAAATGCTCCCAGACTAGAACTGACCAGACTAGTTTGGGTGCATAAATAAAATCTGTGTGCAGCAAGCCAGCTTGATGGGGAAGCAGCTACCTCATGGGCTGGATGCCACAGCTGGAAGCTGGCACAGAAACGAGTCAGCAGCCCAAGTGCTGGTTAAACTTGAGCCTCAACAGGGCATAGCAATATGTATATCAGGGCTGGAGATAAGTGGGTGACCCTGCCTCCAGCAGCACTGTGCCATGCAGCATGTCACAGCTGCCTGGCAGGTGCACAGTCATGTGCGCAGAACTGAGCAGCACATCACAGTAGGAAACTGCAAGACCCTTCATTATAAAAACCCAAAAATGATCCAAAGATAGAAAAAACACAGCAAAAGCAGCACATCAGAAAGAAAGGAGGAATAAATTTGGCCCAGGAATCTTATGCTGGAAAGAAACCTACGTGAAAAAAGCAGAAATTTATTGTAAAAAGGACAATGTCCTACATGTGAAAATTAATACACACGAAGGATCATACACATTCTGTCAACTAATCTCTGGATTTAGTTCTGGGTTTGTTTTTTTTTCCCCATTAGATAAAGAAAATCAAGACCTTTTTGTATATGACAAAGGCTCAACCTTCCCCTGCTTTCATGGAGGCTGTGTCAGCCACCTACAGATCTGTGAGTTTATCAGTGATTGCCCTACCAAAGAGGAAGGAGTGAGGTGTGGTGAGTATCTGGCATGACACTTCATGGGAACCTTCATTCCATTAGAATAAATAATTTAGAATACAAAATAAGCTAAATTGATTCCATCTTTAGATTAATTCAGTATTTCACCTCCTGAATTAATTTGTCCCATTTACATTAATTGGATACCAAGATTCTCTTTGAAAATTCACCCTATATAGAACAAAATGGATTTTTTAAAAATTGATTTGGTTTCTTAAGTATTGCAGTAAGGAGCTCAATGACCTTCCCTTCACAGTTACTGCTACTTCAGAGAAAGGCAAAACCTTATTTACATGTCTGCAGCTGGGTGAGAATTTCCTTCTGGACCCAAGATCTAAGCCTTCCCTTCAGGGAAAGGTATTAATCATCTTTCCACTCTTAGTTACCTACAGTGTCATAAATCTGTCCTTCCAAGATCCCAGTTCAGGAGCTCTTGCGCATCAGGACAGAAAAATCCCCTACCAGTATATGAGGTGCTAAGAAGCAATTTTAGCTTTAGCAAATACAGTGGTGATTTAAAATAATCTGTTGATTTGCCTTCCTTTACATGGACACAAAACTTTGTGATGCCTGCAATTTCATATGTAGCAAGACCTTTACCAATATGTGGCAGTGATTTGCCATTCGTGAGGTTACAGGGGCTGCAGTTTTGTCCAGAATTTAGAGTAGGACAGCACAAAAAATTCTCAAATGTTTACAGAAGCAAAGTGTTAGCTTTCTAATGGTGACTCTGGAAACAAAAAAATGAGACCTATTTTGATAGTGTAGCATAGGTTGGATAACTTGGACAACAACAATGGATTTTCACTTTTGCTTGTGTTCTTCCACAATCAAGTTGCTCCTATTTTCCTACTTTTTCTTGTTCTCAATTGTAGACAATCTCCCAGAGGGTTCACACTGCTCTTTTGAAGAAGGTCTGTGTGGCTGGACACTGAATGAAACTGCAGCATCTCCTTGGTCTATTCGGGGCTTTTCCAAAATTATTCAAGAAGACTCATTTGTAGGGTCTACTTTGCAAGCCACTGGTGGTAGGTTCTTCATTGTTCTCTTTCCTACTCTCTGTGCATGCATGTACACAATAACCTTGAATTTAAGTTTATTTAAATTGGTTTAAAAATTTTGACATGATTGTCAAATCAACTTCAGGATCAGTATTATCTATAATGACTTCAAATGTAGCTAAAATTAACTTTTGAACGTGTTGCAAAACTTTATAGTAAACAAGTTCTGCAAAAAAAAGTTAACACAACTCTCAAGAGACAAGGATTCTTAAAGAAATTATACAATGCATACTTCTTCCCTCTTCCTTCCTCTTATGAGCTGTGCAGTTGCTGACTACTTCAGCAGCAATATGATAACTGCTGCATCACAAGGTAAAAATTGCCCAACAGAACTGCAGACCTGTTAACTTTCTAAATAAGAAGGGGGGAGGCCAGACCCTCACCTGTTCAGGCTGAAAGTCTGAAGTGTTAGCACACATGAGTTTTGCCTCACAGTTTCCTGCCAAAATGAAGAGTTTCCATACAAGTGTCCTGTTTGTCTCCTGACAGCTTGTGTAAGCTCTCCCTGGAAACAAAGACTGTAAATAAACTCTTCCAGCGCAGAGCTTTACTCAGCAAGTGACACTGATGCTAATCGTGTAGGAATTAGGAGTGTAGATTGGTGTGCACCTCTGTATGGGAAGATCTTGAGTGGTACCTGAGGTTTATCCACTCACATTCCAGTAAGGGGTTTGTTGACTTTTGTGCTGCTGAAATCTACCAGAGTGTTTACTATAACCTCACCACAGACTTGCTCTCAGGCCCTGCTTACACCTACATATGCTTACATACCTGCAGGAACATTAATGATGTTAAAGTATTTCAAATGATTACACAAAACAGCAAGAGATCATTTTCTTTTTGTGTTCACAGGACACTTCCTCTACCTGCGAGCAGACAGCACTCAGACAAGTGGTATGGCTAAGGCTTCCAGTACCAGCTTGCCAGCCAGTCTTGCCACAGAAGACTACCAGGTGTGTCACTCTGTCTTTGCACCTTTGTGGAGTAAATCATCAGGCTGTAGGCACTATTTGCACAATTAGCCTGTTCTCCTGTCTCTCTGCACACTCTACACAGCACCGGAAAGCAGAAGAGCTGGCTATACTGCCTAGCTGGCCTCTTGTTCAGAACTGGAAGGGAGATGTGTGGTACCTCCCCAGTAAGTGAAAGCAGAAGCCCCAAATCAGTCACTCCTTGTGGAAAACTCCCCAGCCTAACTGTAGCATTTAAGAAGAGTTACTGAAAGGTAACTCTGAGAGGTGCCAACAGCTTCATTGTATGGGGCAGCCAGTGTTTGTAGAAAAGGGAGCTGTCTGGCTGGGCCACTGAGTCTTTTAGTACATCTGCTGCTGAGATTTTTCTTCATAAATTCTGCAGGACTTAATAAACTTGATAGTTTCACTGAGAACAGGAGTGTGAAGTTAGAATGCATTAGATTTTTCCAGAAATAGTTGAATATAATAAACTTCTGATCACATTCTTCAGGAATTTCATAAGGTTAATGCAACCTGGCCTTGATAAAATCACACAACTTGCCTTGCAGCTCTGAGATGCTGGAATTAAAAATATTAAATAATATTATAGTCATAACACTTAGGAAAATTAAGCTGCAAGTTCGAGCTGGAGTCCAGTCTTGCTAGGGGAAAAAGAGAAAGCTTTGATGCCTCCTAATTAGAGCTGGGAAAAATAAATACAGTGCAGGTGCCAGAAATGTAACTTTGGCATTTTTATTTATTTATAAATCCAGGTAAAATATGCTGGGTACAACATAAGCAACAAAATAAAATGTGTTTGGAGACAGATTTACAAAACCAGGAGAGGAGAAGCTATAGCTGTTGGTTGTTGTGTAGAGGCCACAGGAGATCTGGATCCATTCTCTCCTCCACTGGCAAGGATTTGAGGCCACATGGCAGGATCAAGGAACTTCTGTGGTTGCTCTTTGCAGAATCTGTGTGTGCTCCCTTTCCTGCCAGTACTGGAGCTCTCTGTGACATTAAGGGCAACTGGGTATTGACAGCAGTGGTAGAAACAGTTGTGTAGAGGCCACAGGAGATCTGGATCCATTCTCTCCTCCACTGGCAAGGATTTGAGGCCACATGGCAGGATCAAGGAACTTCTGTGGTTGCTCTTTGCAGAATCTGTGTGTGCTCCCTTTCCTGCCAGTACTGGAGTACTGGAGCTCTCTGTGACATTAAGGGTATTGACAGCAGTGGTAGAAACGGCAACTTTCTCTTGCTCTGTGGCAAATTGGAAGTGGTTGCTCCAAAGAAAGAGAAACAAGTCCTGCTTCAAAACATTCCTTGGCCTGCTGATTTTGTTTTTCACTTGCCTTAGGAGTGCTGCAATTCAGATGGTGCCTATGAATTGGAGCAGGTAGATGGACTGAGGTTTCCTGCCTCTAGAGACAGTCCTTGTTTAAAAGGTATTTGGGGCAGGAGAGCTCTCCCCTCAGAGAAGGCAATAACAAGAAAACCAGTCCTTTCACCAGATGGTGTCAGAGGCTGTGGATATTGTCATCAGTGGTTGGAGAACAGCTGCTCAGCAGGAGTACCAGTTTGGGTCTTCCCTGAGAATATTCTGTGCTAGTAACAGTGCTGAGTCAAATACAGTCAATGAGTGGGAGCTTAGTGATTTCTGTCATTAAAGAGTTTGACCCAGACTTGGAGGTTTGGTGTCTCAAATTCCCAGGGAGGGGAGAAGTTACTACCTTTCCCTTTTGTCACAGACTACCATTCTTTTCCTCTTCTCCCTCTGTTACAGATTCAATTTTCAGTGCATGTTTTTGGAAGCTACAATGGTACAGTCTCCTTCTCTCTCAGGGAAGAGATAAAGGGAGCTCCAGTCACCTTGCCAATGTGGGAAAGGGCAGGGAGCTGGAGCGACCACTGGTTTCTCATCACCTTACCAATGCCAGAGCTTCAGAACCGGTAAGAGCTCCACTGTCAGCAGCCAGGACTATCCCTATAGGTTTAGTAAATGTTCCTATCTTTATTGTGAAGTGTCACTTTCATTCCTGCCTTCTTTCAGAGCTGTTTTTGAGTGACTCTGCTTGCTCAGGAAGTATTCTGCCATAAGTGCATATCTTTGTGCACATGCACAGCTTAGCTCAACACAAGCCCACACCATGTGACTGCACTTCTGTGCAGCCTCAAACAGTACTTAGGTTTTGGGAACAGCAAGCATCTGCACTAAAAACCCTTTAGCAATCTGAGCAAGCCAATGTACTCACAGGGGCAAAGTGCTCCCAGCAGGGAAACAGCTGCATTAGCATAGCTGTTCTCCATACTCCCACAGTTACAAACACTCAGATGAGTCAAAGGGATGGTAATCCCACAGTTTAGCCAATAAAGCTGTCCAGTTTAGGATCTGTATCAGTGCAGCCTGGGCAGCTGGAGATCCTTCATTGCCACATTACTGATGCAATGGTTTCAGAAAAAGACTATTGCCTAAATGAGCCTTGCACTAAAGTTTTCATGGGGTTAGATGTAGAAATACAGTGCAACATTGGTTTTCAAATGAACTGAAATATTGAAGATTTAAAGAATTTCTATGCAATCAAATTTAATTCAGGCATTTTCCTCCCTCACCTAGTGTCACTCAGTCTCAAGCCATGTAGCTGGTGTTGGTAGTTGGTTATTTTGCACAACATAAGCTTTGTGGGGGTTTTTTTTGTGGGTTTTTTTTGGTGTTTTTTTTTTTTTTTTGGGGGGGGTTTTTTGGGTTTTTTTGGTTTTTTTTTGTTTTTGTTGGGTTGGGGTTTTTTGTTTGGTTTTTTTTGCATATTCCTGAGGAAGGCATGTTTCACATGAAACTTAAGGGAAAAAAAAACCCTCCAAGTCTATACAGTGAATATTATAAATGTTGCTCTACCCTCTTTCTGGTTTAATTTCCTGATTACCTTTTGCGTCAGCATTATCAAATGATCACCATACACACCTTTGCCATGAATTACTCCTTTAGGGTAGGATTGATCTGCCTGCTAGCACTGTATTTAAAATTCTTGTCTGACACTATCTGAAGCCCTGTGGATTAGTATCTGTTTAGTTATGAATATGTAAAGTATGGCCAGAGAATTAGTGCAAAATAGCTCTTTTCTCTGGACACTCTACTGTGGACCTGTCTGTAGCAGAGAATAAGGGGCTCTTCAGAGCTATTTAAGACCGTCTGCCTGCTCTGATATATAGTCCCTTATGCTTGTTCCCTGAAGCCTCCAATTTCTGTATTGGCCCTTAATTCTGAAGCAAAATGGATCTTATGTGGCAGAAGGGAATGGACAGCAAGACACTTTTTTTGAGCACTAGCCAGAATGGCGTGAAATACAAATTGATATTCAAATGTTCAAATACTGTAATGTTTGAAAAAGTTGAGCATTTAGGCAAAATGAAAGATGTAGTTAGGTTCATGCATGCATTAATTATTACCGTCTGTTTCAAGTAGTTCTATCATGTTTCACTTCATGTAACCTTTCTGTATGACATTTTCAAATTTAAAACTGAGTGGCACAACAGTGACGATCACTGTGAGTATGGATGGAACTGTTCAGTCCAGAAGGCAAATCTGTACCAGCTGTGATACCCAGTGACTGGCAGAAGTAATAAGTTGCCATTTGCTACACTGATCTATAACAGAACAAGCACATACTTTGCTAGAAAGTGCTGAAGCTATTTCCCCAAGAGAGGAAACTGTGGTCTTTGTTCTCCCAGGACACAGTCTCCATCCCAGTCCTCTTGTCTTGTTTCCATGCTCTACTCCTTCTGTCCTGTCTTACCCACTGCTGTGGGCACTTGTTGCCTTTCTTCCTTGTTTTCATATACTTGGTCTCTCTTTCTTTTCCTTCAGCCTCCCATTTGGGAAACCATTTTGTCTATCTCATGCCTCTGGCTGTAATTTCCTTTCTGAACTCCTCCCTGCTTCTTGTTTCCATCTCTCTTCTAGCAGCTGCTGTCTCTGTGTGTTGTTTAGTTTTGGGGTTTTTTTATTATCAAGTCTGAATCCCTTCCCTGCACTTCCCTTCTCCTAGCTATCTCTTGTGTGCTTTCATTTCAATGATCCCAGACCTACAGTAAAGGTTTATTCCCAGTACTCCTCTTTGACTGGCTATTTAATTCTCTCTGTAGATCTTGGGCCCAAATCCCCTGTACACCAAGTCCAAGCCCCTCTGCTGTAAAATTCCCAGTGAGCTCCCAGTCTCTCTCCACGATAACCCCTTCTTAACTCTGGATTCAGCTCAGACAGTTTTTTTTTTTCTCCTCTTTGGCCAGAATCAGCAACAGAAAGTAAGGCTGGAGAAGAAAATGTTTATCCATTAATTTGGAAGGGTAGTTCTCACCCCATGTAGCTGAAGCAGGACCTGACATGGTTCATAGTAGCACTGCATGGAAAGTACCATTTTGCCTGAGACTTTCAGATATCCAGGGAAGAGGAAACTGCAGGATTAAAAAAAATACCAAGCATGGAAATGTCAGGGATTTAAAAATTTCAAAGATATTTTCTTAAAATTTTTGGTGATTCTCATTCACGTGAAAAAAAAAAAATCACCTCTTGTCTGCCATGTGACTCTCTTTCTCCCAAATTTCAGATCCCACTTCCAATACCTAGTAGCACAGAGTGCTTAAAAAGTTACCAGCATTTTTTGAGCATGGTCAGAATCACGAATCCCTGCATTGCCTCATCCTCATCACTCACAAAATTATTTGACTGCTAGAAAAGTCATACCAAATCACCCAAAATAGAAAAGTTCAGCCTAAATCGCTTTAATGTTAGTGAAATTGAAAACAATTGTAAACAGAAGTATGTGATAAACATTGCTGGACAATTTTACTACAGTTTGGTACAAAACTTCATTAATGACTATTCTGTGTGTTTATGGGTGTTGTCAGCTTTCCTCGGTAATGCAAGCTCTAGCAATGCAGTGCTTAGGTTAATTGTTAATGCAGATTTTGAGCTGGCATGCTGTTTTTTCTGTATGCCAAATCTTTGGGAAACTCCTGTCTTTCTCTGGCTGTAGGAAAGTGCTGTACTTTCCCCTGGTTCCTTAAGGGAATGGTAGGCAGTAGTAAAGTGGGTAGGAAGGGGACAGATCACCCAGGGAGAAGAGTAGGCATGAACTGAGACATAACAAGTTGCAGTCCATGAACTGCTTCATGGGGCCAGAAGTAGAGAAACCTTAGCAAAAAGAACAAGGAGGACATGAAGACTCTACTTAGGTATTTTTTAGCAACACCTTCATCCAATGAATTTATTTCATAGGCGAGAAGGAAGACACAGTTTGCTGATCAGCCTCCCACTTGGGCATCTAGCTCCTTTGGAAAACTGCTTCTGGTGATTGGCTGGCAAATTCATTTACTTGGTTCACACACAAGGAGAAACAATGCTATCAGGAGAAAACCAAACAAGCAGAAGACCAGACAACAGAGAGCTGGAGAACATAATTTGTTGGAGTCAGCAAAATGAGATCAATGAACAGGAACACTGGAAGCCCCTCTGGCTAAAACAGCATTGAGTTCAAAAGACAAATTCCTCCCCTTTTTCTGAAGTTAAAAGGAAGGGGAGGCATACAGAGCCTAGAGGTTACAAAATGTCGATTCTCATGCACTGGGGGCAGAGGGGGGTGTCATTTCTCAAGGTCCCTCTTGCACTGTTGTTCCTCAAGGTCCCCCTTGTACTGTTCTGCACCCCCTTGTGGAGCAGTAACCTACCTTGCAGTGCAGTGCCAGGGACCCTTGTCTGCTCTGTATCCATGGACCAGGCACAGCAGATTGACCTGACCAGGGGTAGAATTCCATGTGAGTGCCTTAAGTAAGGGGCAGGATGTGGTGCTGTGCCTGTGCCTGTGGATCCTACAAGGGCCCTGGTTGTGGGCTCAGGGTGCTCTGACTCTCTTCCACCAGATAGATGGGAGAATTATTGTCATTTGTCAGTGGACTTATACACAAGGTTTGAAAATGCTCTTGCTAAGCTTGCTATTAAAGAGGAGGGTTTCTGTAGGAAGGGGATCTAATGAAAAATTCCCCCACTAACAGCTAAGAGGTCATTCAAGAGATCCTTAATTTGCATTTGCTGTACTTACTCCCAGAGTGCTCAGATCCTGAAGGTGTGGATGCTTTCATTTAAGCACAAGGGGTCATTCTTGAGTTGAGGTAAAAGCAGTTTATCCCTAAAGATTTTTATGCAGCCATGCAACTAACTGTGGATATCAACCAACATTTGGTTGGTGGGTGGAATGCACACACATATTTTATTGCCACTAATTTGGGACAAGTGTGTTTCTAGGCTGAATGATTAATGTGTTAGGCAGGTCAGTGCTTGATCTCTCATAAATCATCATTGAGTTTTACCAGAGACAGCAGTAGAGGTCCTGCCCATATGCTTTTAATAAGCTCTAAATGGACTGGACATCAGACATCTGTTTATTTCTGAAATTCAATGAAAAACAATTCAGTTCTATCCATTAGAAGGATGTCCCTCAGCTCCTTTTCTTTCTTCCTTGTGAAATCAGAAGGTAGAAATACACATGGACGTGACAGAGCTCCTAGATAAGGAACACCTGGTCATAGTGGAAAAAGATGAGATAGCCCAGGGAGCTAACTCTTCAAGGAATTATGGCTGAATTTATAATGTCTTACCCTTCTGAAATAAACTCATGTTTTGAGTTTATTAATCCACTGAGGATCAGGCCCAAGACATTTGGATATTCTGCTCAGTTTTTACTCTATCTCTTTGGGGGTGGAAAGTAAGATAATTTTTTTCTCCCCAGTCTAATTCCCTGACTGTTTTGGGTAATTTAATATGGATAGTTGTTTGTGTATAAAAACTAGTGGGAGAGAGTTGCTTGTATGTATGTGCAGACTGCAGGGGAAGTAGGGTTCTTATTCTTGTTCCCCATTAAATGAGAAATTATATGAATGTTGTGGCACTTACCAGGGGTTTATATGTGTCTAAGACTTAGAGCAAGCGCTTTGGCTGCTCAGCTGGACTTGTCTGGAAGAAAAAATCTAAATATTGATTATGTTTTTTCCATTATAATTGAACATTGTATTTTTAGGGAGGCTGTTTGTTTGTTTGGTTTGGTTTTCCCTCTCCTTCGTCCTTTGTCAGTTTTCTCTAAAATGTCTGTCTTATTGCAAAGGTTTCAACTGGAACTCCTGGCAACCTGGGGCTGGAATTCCCAAGCTGACATTGCTATCGACAACATTACATTTGGCCTGGACTGCTTCACTGATGGTGAGCCACAAATGTTGCAGAATCCCCCAAAAATTTAGGTAGTGTAATCAGCACTACCACAGGTCCAGGACACACATTCTGTTCTCCTCACAGAGTGCGCATGCATCATTTGTGTCAGCTTTTTCAGCAGAATGCCATTTTATCACAGATATACTGAAGATTGCAAGTAGAGGCAATTTTACTCTGTGTCAGAGTCTCCCAGTGCTCTTTTTTTTCCTCTAAGCTGGGATATTCTGTATCACATAGTTGAGACCTGTCTGTGTGTCTTGGCAAGAAACATTAAACTTATTCCTTAGCCTAAATGGAGGGATTACATCACACTCTTTTTCCACAGTCCCTGCTGATCTATGCACCCTGGTAATTGATACCTGAAACAAATTTGTTGAAGTCAAAGGCAAAAGTCACCATATTTTTGTGGAGAAAAGGAAGAAAATGAAGGAGTAAATTGACTCTCTGACAATAAAATTTAGATTACTCCAACAAGTTTGTTTTAGTCTGTAAGGAGGTGCATTAGCTATCACTGCCAGATATATAACAGCTTTCCTTTGCTTCATTGCTGTGAACGTGACTGACAACTATTCCAGAGAAAAATTGCTACCATTTGAAACATGATAGCAGGAGTTGTAGTGGATTTTTTTAGCAGACAAGGGGAAAGAATTTAGGTACTTGAACTATTTGCAAATATTAGAAACTACTTTCTTTTGTCCCTGGGAGAAAAAAAAATGCTCTATTGGAAAGAAACTGGAAGATATGCAACACTTGAATGGTGAATTCTGTTGCAGAAGAAAAATGTGGGTTGGTGATACTGTGACACTCTACATGCCACTGCACACAATATTTAGGGTCATAGCATGTCCCCGGCTAGCTGTAGCCTAACATAACATATGGGAAGGCTTATGTCAAAATAGATGTGTTAAAAGCTCATCAACAGAAGCCACTATTCCTTTCCATCCTTTTCTGATTCAGTGTCCTGTTCTCTGTCCCTTTGTTCTGTGAGCACTGAAACTACTCTTCTATAAAATGCTGAGTATGCACAGTTTCACTTGAAATTAAGAGGAAAAGCTGATCCTTATGGTAATTTCATTTTTTAACTCCAGCTCTTTTCAGTCCTCTCTCCCAACCTCCATGCTAGCAGTTTGTTTTGGAATCTTGAGGAAGATGAAGGGGGTGACTCCAGATGCACTTGGGCCAGCTGATGTGCACCCAGCTGCTGGATTTTACTGCTCTCAGATCCTCCAGTTTAGCCACAACATTTTGCTGGGAGTGGTGTAGGTGTTTGGCAAACAGGTGGGGTGTAAATGCCCCTGCAGCAATGTTATCAGAGCTTGTCCATTAGACCACCCAGGCTACTCGTTATTTTCAATTGGGATGAATTGCACCGATGTCCAGGAGCAGCTGGACTTACCCCATCTGAAGGCACGACCCAGAGATGTGTGAGTCATGCAGAAGAAACATAGCACAATGGAAGCATTTCTCGGAAGCCTTGCACTTGCCACTGTTCCTTGAATCCTCTTTGCAAATTGACGTTTTCTCGCCTCTGAGAGCAGCCCCCTTGTATTTGTCTTCTCATGACTTTAATTCAGTTAGGTTACAGAGAAGCCCAGCAGCTCTGCTGTATTTTCAGTAATGAAATTACTTCTCCCTGGCAAGGACAGGTTTCAGATGTCAGAGACAGAGCCAATTAAAATCCAAGCAGTGAATTCTTTTCATGAGGGCAGCAGGAAGGATGTATGGCAGGAAGGAAGGATTTGCTGCTTGCTAGGATGTAAATATTATTTTCTCCATCTATTTCAATCTTGTAGTTCAAGTCTCTACAAAACCCAGTGCTGAATGAAAGCACTGTTTTTGTATGCAAGATGGGAAAGAAGGTGAGGTTTTCCACAGACCTTAAAACTGAGAAGGTTCAGTAAGATTTAAGTGAACAACTGAGTGGTGAGGGCAGCTCAAGAGACATCAATAAGGACAAAACCCAAACAGACCATTCTTTGGATGGCAGCTCCTGGGCATTGACAGATGTTTTTCCCTGTGAAAAGGGTGAGGCGAAACCACATATTGGCTTATACAATCACCTTGTGTAAGACAGTGTCACAGTCTGGATGGCATGTCTGGTTCATTGTGAGAACTTCAGGCAGACAGGCATAAAGATACTTAATAGTTTCAGTGAAATAGTGCTTATATAGGAAGAGGTCTGAATTTTGAGTGTTTTAACATGAAAATGTGGACTAGCACAACAAATAGAAAGCTGATAGTTGGGTTGCCCTTCTCACTGCCTTTACTATTATCTTTTGGCGCTCTACGTATTGTATTATTCCCATTAAGATCACAGGTCTGTGGTCTATCAATATCTACTGCCCTGGCCTAGAAATTTCAGTCTGTGCATAGTTTTCAATTTCCTAGGAGATTGCTTTATAAATGGCAAGACTGTCCAAAGAGAGCTTTTGTACAGATTGCCTCTACTTCTTGATTTTAGAGTCCCTGATTCAGCAAAGTCTGATTTTCAGGAGTACTGCAATCATCATTAGTGAGATGGGATCTCTGAGGAGATCATTCACACCTTGAGGATCCTGTGAGGCATCTTACTCTGATTAATCTCAGCCACCAGATCTCTATCTCCATTTTCACTACAGTCACAGAGATATTGAAGCAATGAACGAGTAAATTATTTTAGCTCTCAGCCTGCAGATGTCTCTTTCTCCTTTACACTTCCCTCTGTCTCATTTCAATGGGGAAATCAGTGTTAGCTAAAACCTGGAGAAAGGAAGTCTGTGCTCTTTGCATTTTTTAATATAGATACACCTTAATATGAATCAATTCTTATTCCCTTCTATTCACTCTACTGTCAACATGTTGGCTGTTAGAAGATGAAGTGGAAACTAAAATAGACTGAAGAACCAGCCCTTGGGTCCCAGGCTACACTAGGTTTGTAGAAAATGCCACCTTACAAGCTTGTGTCTAAGAGTGCATAAAACATCAGCTTTTAAAGCATTAACAGCTCGTGTGGAGAGGGCGATGCTCAGCCTGTGGTGCAGCTGATCTGCTGCTTAGTGTGGAGGAGACAGAAAGTTTCTCCGGGAGAGCAAGTGTTTGAGACTGTTTGGAAAAGGAGGAAAGACTGTTTGTTTGGAAATGAGGCATTGCCTTAGGATACTCATTGGGATGCCACAGAAAAATCCATGCAGACACACAGATCAACTCTCTGTTTCAGAGAGTGATTTACATTCCTTTGCTCTGGAAAACATAACTAGACTTCTGGTACATCACTAAGTGTCTGAAACTGTTGTGACCTTTGGAATTTGTAATTCAGTGCAGGCCTTGGGGAGCATCTTTTCTGGCCATGCATTGTATTTTTCATTCTGTTTTCCTCCTTGCATTTGATTAATTTCATTAGTTTTGGGTTAATTTCATTTTTCACTGGCTTGACCACTTCATCCATTGAAGTTCTCCCTCTCAGTAAGAGCAGAGTGTGTCAGTACAAAGCTTTCTTTTATTTCCATGCATCAGTGTGCTTTCAGTCAGACCTGGGGGGAATATTCTCAGGAGTAAAAGCTCAGCAAGGTCTCCATGCTTCAATTAGTTATTTGGCCTTTCTGACACAGCTAACAAGGGTGTTAATTATTGCTATTTAGAGCAGTGGCTTTGTGGCAGAGATAATTGTCCATCTGGAACTGAGTGAGTCTCTTTTCAGTAGAATATCAGACAGCTGTTAGATTCTCACAACTGGAACAAATTGAAATATTTTTTATGTTTTTCAACTGATGAAAAATGTTCAGTATTAAATTAACTGAGGGCTCACAAAATCGAAAGAAGCCTGTCCTTTTTCTTAGAGATTTTCCAATCAAAAATCTGCATGAAAATGGGTAATTTTACTATTGAAACAGGATGCTTGCAGATTATGAGGCAAGGCTTCATTATTACTTTTTCCTGTTCTAAGGCAGCATTGGTGTTGGGGTGTTCTCAATGCATTCAGATGATTTGGATCAGCAATTGATTTGAAATTCCTCCTCTCTAAGAAAGGGCTGGTTTTCAAAGGTCTGTCTCAGTGGTCAGAAATGTATGGTTTTGCTCTGTGATTTTCAAAAAGGTTTGTCCAAAGATTAGCAGCTTGTGACAAGGGTATGCTTCTGTTACTTAACTGTGTATGTTAGTGAGGCATGTAATTTTATTTAGTTATTTATTCTCTAAGTGAGCTCTCAGGTGCTCAAAGTTGGTTGCTGAGGTGGGAGTGATCTGTTAAGCTGGGTTACTTGCCATGGCACTATTCAGAACCAAATACAATGATTTTTTGTCACCACTCTCCTTTACACCTCCAGTCATTTGACTGTCCAGAATTGTCACCTGCCTGTTTGACCAGCAGAACATCAATACCTGGTATCTGTTCTCCCACACTACATTTTCCCTAAAATCTCCTATAATCACAGCTATGGGAAATTGCAGCCCAAGGAGCTTATCCTGCATGGGATAACATGGAGGGTCTGTGTTTATGTCAAGACCCACTGCTTCAGCACAGATACAAGTAGCTTACCTAAGACATGGGCTCAAAAGAGTAATACGAAATTATGATTGCTCAAAACACCTTTTCTATCCAAGGTAATATTTACTTATCTTAACCACATGGTTGTATTTAATTAATTCATGTAGTCTTTCAGTTTTCCATCGCTCTTTTCTACCACCCTCCCACCTCTTTCCTCTGTTCTACAAACTACTACAGGAAGACAACTGAATCATTTTGCTGGGAAACGCCAGTACCCACGTGAGATTAGTATCCTGGATGAACATCTTCTGAACCCCCTGGAAGAGCCCTCCCTCCCAGGTAAATGATTCTGTACTGAAAAGCTGTCTCTTGCCTATAAAAGGTGGCTCCATTCCTGTCTCCTTTGTGTGATCTGCCTGCCTACAGCAGTGAAATAACTATATATAATCCAAAGATGCCAAAGATGTGGAGACTGTGTCAGGTAGTCTCTCCAGGTTTGGCTATAGACAAGCAGTTTGCTGGAGCCCAGCTCACCAGTCCTGAGAAGGCAGGTCCTCTTTAAAGAAAAGCAGAATCTCTTCAAGTGAAAACAGATGCTGCATGACTCAGATTCAGAGTGCATGGAAAGGCAGCTTAGGAACAAAAGGCATAGACCTGTATAGAAATTTGGGAGTAGAAAGAGTGCTGAGCATTAAAGATGAATAAAGTGAGTGTAGAATAGTGGTGTAAAGATGAAAATCCAGGAAGAAGTAAGTAAGGATCAGGAAATCCACTGAAGAGAAAAATTGGATTAAAAAGTAGGAGAACAAGGGAACACTGAGGACTAATTTACTGGTAGTGGTAGAGATCCACTCTGGAGGACAGATAAGTATTGTGTGGATGAGAAGAGGTATGTAAAGGAGAAGGTGAGGAGAAGGTGTTTTCTTGAGGCTGTTTTGTGGCAAACAAATACCAGTGTGTGGCTGTCCCAGCTCCTGAAGGCTGTGTCCACCTGGAATGTGACAAACTGTACTGCTGTTTGTTCCCACTAGCTCCGGGGAATGCTGTAATGCAGCTGAAACTCATACTGCATAGATCCATCTGCATGTTCACAGGATGTTGGGGGTAGTTTTGCTTGCCGTTTCCTTTAAATAAGATTGGAATTTTTATTTTAAAAGTCTGTAATTTTTACCTCTATTTTAATCATTCAGCTCTTAAACAGTTCTACTTTTGACCCTGGCTTTTGTGCACAAACTGCATCACACAGTTTTTAGATACATTACTGAAAAGTTTTATTCTTAGGCCTCATCTAATTCAGTGGAGAAGATGGAGTTGTTTGGAATGGTTGCGAAATGGAGAACATTCTTATCTGCTGCACTGTTGTAGAAACAAAATAATAATGCTTAATGAGAACCAGGAAATAAAATTCTTGGTGAAGAAGGGTCCCTACAGATGGTATCAAGAGGCTGTTCCCAGGCTGTTTCTGTTGCCACAGGCTTCTTGTGCAAGCCTGAGACAAGTCTCTTCAAACTTTCACAGTGTTTCATAAATGGTCACTAGCTGTAATGAGAGATGTTTTCAACCCTTGACTCTGTGTACCTGGTTTAGTTCTCATTTGGAAAGTTGAATATCTTCTTGCTTCAAATTGGCACTGAGAAGAGGAATTTGATCATGTCTGTGAGACACTTGGATAAACCCCTTCTTAGAAGTTAAGTCCATCTTCCCTTTTCCTTTCCCCCCCTCACACCCAACTGATAAACTTAATCTTCAGCCCATGATTTATCAAATAGTGTGCAGGAAATAAGGTGAGAGAGAAGAAAAGCAAAAGCGACCATAACAAAGCAGTAGTTGTGCTATGACTACGAAGAAAGTGGATATAATGTAAGTACTGAGAAATGCAGGGAAGCTCACATCTGACTCAACTCTTGCTGTTTTGGTCACAGGGGACACAACTGTTGTTCTGTGGTGGTTCTCAACGTGTGGTGCCAGTGGTCCCCATGGGCCAACTCAAGCTCAGTGTGACAGTGCCTACAAGAACAGCAATGTGTCAGTGACTGTGGAGAAGGAGGGCAGGCTCCGGGGAGTGCAAGTCTGGAGAGTGCCAGCCACAAACAGATACAGGTGAGGATCAGTGTGTGCTGGGGGGCAGCCACCTCTGACTGCTTTTTGTTTGTGCAGTTTCAACAAGCACAAGTGTGGGACCACCTGTGCTGAGTGGGTGGAGGGGACAGAGAAGAAACAGGAGCAGTAGTTATTAGGATATATCTGAGCTACCGTGAAGCATGGAAGGGTGAGCAGAGATTAGAAGAGATCAGAAGAGGAGTGAGAGTGGGCATGCAGCCAAGGAGTGCTGCCACCATCTCAGTCCTGTAGCCTTAGACTTCTGGGCTATACCAGCTCATGCTATTTGTTCCTGCAGTCTCTGTTTCCAGTACTCTGGTGAGGGTTGGTCTGTCCTCTTGTGCAGCCTAGCTACATAGGTCTCAAACAAATAATAGTCACAAGCTGCTACAGCAGGGGAGCCTGCTCTAGAGAATTGTGTTTGGAAGTGAAGACTGGGAGACCTTGTAGATGGATTTACTTTGGGGATGAGAATTGTGAGAGCTGTTTCTTCATTTATTTACTTTGTCTTGCAGGATTTCTGCCTATGGAGCAGCCGGGGGGAAGGGAGCCAAAAACCACAATAAGAGGTCCCACGGGGTCTTCATCTCAGCCACCTTCCACCTGGAGAAAGATGAGCTGCTGTACATCTTAGTGGGGCAGCAGGGGGAGGATGCCTGCCCTGGGGTGAGGGCCACGAAGCACATGTGGGCAGAGACCTTGCAGATACTATTCAGTGGGTGGCTTGGGGTTTGGTGATAAAAGATAGAAATCCCAGAATCCAGCAATGAAATCCAGTCAGGAGACAGGAAAGACCCAATAAAAGAAGTTAGAAAGAATCTCAAAATGGATATAAAGTACACTGAAAAGAAAAACAATCCCAAAATGCATAAACAAATATGAAGCCCACAGAAACTTTGCTTTAAGCTCCTGGTGTTTGAAGTAAGTTCTTCATCAGCTGTCTTGTGCTTATTGTAAGCAGGAAGCTCCTAGGCAAGTGATGTGCTCCCTCTCTTGTTTTTCCACAGTCCAGGGTTTTTGCTGTCTGCCAGGATTTTCAGAAAATTTACTATTATTTATGGAATCATCCAGCAGTGTGGTGGCTGCACTGTGTTACATACTCTCTAGGCTTAGAGACTAAAGTCTGAGTCCAAAGCCTACCGAAACCACTGAGAATCTTCCCACTAACTCCAGCAGCCCCTGAATTAGGTTTTTGTGATGATGAAAAAACACTCAAGAGAAATGGAAATTGGTGACATGAACACTTATGTGTGTGTCCTCAAAATGCTATACCAAATGATCTGAAAGTCCTTTTGTCACTTAGGCCACCTCTTTTCAGCATCAGTTTTTGATACTGCCTTGTTCCAGAAATGCTGTTAACCCCTGCCCAGGAACAACGCTGTTTTTCCTCACACACTGGTGTGTTTGGGGATGCATAAACCACTCCTGTAGGCATTTGAAACTACTGTTTACTTTCCCACAGGAGATGATGTCTTACCCAGATGCTGCAAAGGACTCTAAACCCACCCTTTCTTCACTTTATATAGTAAAAGAATGGTATTTATTTAAATAAAAGATACATTTGTGTGTCTGCAATTCCCTTTTCAGTGCACCCTCTAGTCTTAGGTCACAATCCGAAAAGTTGTTCATTAATTCCTTGAGTTTCATCATTTGTTCTCCAAATTGCAAATTACAAACCGCCACTATCTCCCTTTGGCAGGTGCTACTGGAAAAAGTTGAAGTTAATTTTTCCTACTTCCAAAGCCCAACTTTCTTTGGCTTGGAAAATCGTGATGGATCTGTATATTGGGTGACTAATGTTTGTTTTTCTTTCTCTGGAGAAGTTCTGCAGCTCCAAACCTTGATTCTCTCTCCTCAGATTTACCGCAGTTGTTTTTCCCTGGTCTTTATCTACCTTGCCATCTTTTGTTCTCCTGTTTAAATTAACCAGACAAATTGCTCCACCAACAAGAAAGGCCATGCATCATCACTAACAGAATTGAGAAAGAGCTCTCCCTCAGTCAATTTTCAAACAATCTCAGTCTCAGTCCTGGGATGAGATGCAATGGGCAGAAAATGGAACATGTTCCACCTGAATGTGATGAAGAACTTCTTTGCTGTGAGGCTGACTGAGAACTGGAACAGGTTCCCCAGAGGGATTGTAGAGTCTCCTTCTCTGGAGATAGTCAAAACCCATCTGGACATAATCCTGAGTTACATCCAGAGAAGTCTGCTTGAGCAGGGAGGTTGGACTGACTAGATGACCTCCAGTGGTCACTTACAGCCTTCCCCATTCTGTGATTCTGCATGAATGAGAAGACACAGGCAATAAGACTGGTGCAGGAGTAGGAAACTGTGTCTCCAAATTACTCTTCTAAGATGTATCAATAGATTATTCTCAACTACCTGTGGGTCACCTTTGCGTTATGCATTTATCTCCTTGAGAAATAAACAGTAAATGTGTCAGTAACAAAGTTCTCAGAATTAATCCATAATCCAAAAAAATTAAATGTTTTTGTTATAAGAAGTTCTAAACATGCAAAATATTAATTATTTAATTAATGTGAAATTAACAATGAGTTATTACATTTTTTCCTATATGCATCTCTATTTTCATTTTCATGTGTAATGTGAGTTTGCAAATCAGAAGTTATAGACAGATCTAGCCCTCAGCTGTCAGTCCTAGCAGAAAAGGTCACTTTCTACAAAGACAATCTACATACTGGTTTATATGTGTCTAATATGCATGACAAGCATTATCACATTATTACACTGAAATACACAGACAAGTCTCAAGAGTTGGACTTTGCTGATGTCTGACTCCATTCCTTGTCTCCTTTCAGGACAATCCTGAAACTCAGAAGATCTGCTTAGGGGAGTCATCTCTCATTGAAGAAGATTACAAAAAAAAAAGGGACCTAAAGGAATGGGCTGGAGGAGGTGGGGGTGGAGGAGGAGCAACCTACATCTTTAGAGTAAGTATTTCCTCTTTGCATCCTGCCTGAGCAGTGTCCAGCAGAGCAACTAGCTCTCACTGTCAGTCATGGCATATGATAAACAATTATTTTAAAAAAGATTATGAAAAATGAATCTTTCTCTTCTGCCTCTCTCTCCCTCTCCTCTTTCTGTCTTTCTTTGGTTTTTGTCTTTTTAGTTGTTTATCTCTTTTTATATCCCTGTTTGTATTTATCACCTGCATTAGGCTAGCTGAACTGGTTCTTCATTCCTTAACAGCTAAGATGTGGGAATTGCACCAGGATCCCACTTTAATACTGGCAGCAGTCTTTAAAAAATGAATCACAAAACCTTGACATTCAGTTAAACAGTTACTTTTTTACTCAGGAACATGATGTGAAATATTTTTGTAATGATTCTATGAGACAAGCAGTAGCATTGCCCTGGCCTTAGGCCACTCTTCTTTGGGATGCTTTCATCATCTTTGATAAATTTGTGTGAGTTGGCATATCCAAGGGATGTGAAGTTTTTCTGATGTTTGATGGGGGGTTTTCCAGCAGAAGGATGGCATTTTCGAACCTTTGCTCATCGCAGCAGGAGGAGGAGGAAAGGCCTATCTGAAGGCTCAGGACAACTCCCTGGATGATGTACCCCTGGAGCAATATGAGAACAGCACCTCAGTACCTGGAGTCAGTGGGAGGACTGGGGCAGCAGGTGAGACACTAAAACCACACAAGGTCTGAGTCAGGTGGCTGAATACACCCATTGTCCTGTAGGCATGAAGTGAAGGGCTTTTTTTTCAGCCTTTTGGAATTTTTCTGCAGCAGTAGCTGGTAGTCTGTAAGGGATATCTTCTTATATGTTGTGTCACCGGATAAAAAGAGAATGCACAGGACAGCTGATGAGTGCTCCAGTAGAGGCTATTCCACAGGAGGACTCCTCTCTTCTATGAACTGAATTGGAGAAAATTATGTTTGGGGTATGAGACTGCTCCTTCACACTGTAACAATGGCCTCTGAAGAGAAGACATTTTCCTCTTACTCCCCTTAAACTCTAACAACAACAATTCTATTATGGGATTTATACCAGAAATGGAAGCTTATCTATAATCTTGTAATGGCTGTGTCTAGAATACATTCCTAAGAGATAAAAAAAAAATCTGGTGGTTGTCCATGTCCTGCTGTAGTAGGCTTACAAAGAGGCCACTAAAGTGAGATGTAGAAATCCAATTTATTTTTATTTCCCTGAGAAACTCAGCATATTACATGGTTGACTGCCCTAACCAGTTATCCTGAAGGGGAGTGGTAGGCTCCTTATTTTCTTAACACCACAAGAAACTGGTGCTGAGGTGTTGGTTTATGCAGCACATACCACAGGCTGTGCATTAGATTTCCTGGTTTGTTATTGCTCATGGCAGCAAGGAGCTTGTTTGTATATTCTTTTAAACTTAAAGAAAAGTTTACCTTGAACTTAAGAAATTAATAAGGACTCATCTCTGTCTCTCTACAAAGCATTGTGCTTCTCTCACCTGATCTTGTTTTATTTTCTCACTCTCTGACTGAAGGTGGAGGTGGTGGCTGGCAAGATGAGAGTCTGCTTCCTCAGGCTGGGAAGTCCCTTCTGGAAGGTGGAGAAGGAGGTCAAGCTTGTCCCCAAGCACTAGCCAAGCTCCAATGGACCACCTCTGGTGGTTTTGGTGGAGGAGGAGGAGCTTGTACTTCTGGGGGAGGAGGCGGAGGGTACAGAGGTAAGCCTGCTGGGGCAATAGCCATGGTGACTAATTTTGTGCCCTTCAGAGCACCTGCAGGTCAGGGAGAGTGCTATTAGTGCAGAGGTGCACGACTGCAGGAGGTGAGGCACAGATACTTCAAGCTGAACAGTATGAAACCCACCCTGCTCTCCACCATCTCTCCATAACTGGGGAAATCAAGTGTTCCTATGTGATTTAATATTTGGAAGGTGTGATGAATCACCCCTTCACCCATTCGCAAGTTATCTGTGGAAAATGTTCCATTTTTTTTTTCTGTTTGAAACAAATACATTTTTACCTTGCTGAACTGAGAAACCTACATTAGATGGAGTCACTTCACTAACCTTGGTACTGGCTGGGTCAAGTGAGGGTTTGACATTGTACTATCCAATATCACTGGAAGGTTGCAGAGTGACCCTAGGTGATAATGGGAATGAATGCAACCCTTCAGAGACATCATATTTTTTGCAGCATGCAGCACTGATCAACTAGCCATACTTTTCTCTCTCCAGGGGGACATGCCTCTGATAGTGATGATCTCACAGCTGGTGGGCAGGATGGCATCTCTTTTGTGAACCCCATAGGAGAGATCTTCTTGCATCCCTTGGCAGGTACAATATGGTTCTTATTAATTACTTTTCTTTCTCCTTTTTCCTCTCTATTTCCGCTTTCGTCCTCCCTCTTCTGTCTTTGTTTTCTGTTCATTTCATTAAAGCTTATTTCACACTGCAGGTCAGATCTTTAGCTGTGGTCATTTCTTTAAGTATTTCCATAGTGCTCTTTTTTCTCTGAATCTCTAAACCAGGAGAGACACCAGTCATCAGGTTCAACCGCACATCCTCAGTCCCCGACTTTTCCAGGTCAATTCACTTCAAGGCCTCCCTGTTTGCTTAAGGAACCAAATATCTTCTTCCCTACTGATCCCCATCAGGCTTCTGACATGTCCACACTGTGTTGGACTATCTGCTCTCCTGCAGAGAAGGAGAGAAGTTGTAGGTACCTGCTGGGTTTTGTTCTGTTGTTTTTTTTACCTTACTGGAACAAGATAGGAAAAACTGAACTAAGCCCACCTGTTGTGTCTGATTCCTTGTTCAGCCATGGAGAGTCATGGTGAGGTGGAGGTTCAGATCTATCTTAACTGCAGCCACTGCCACTCAGACAACTGCAAGCGGGACCCTGACACCAACCTGCCAGTGTGCCAGTGTGAGATGGGGGCTGTGCTGGCCAACGACAATGTCACCTGCACTGGTAAGTTAAGAAGCTTTAGCCTCACTGGATAACACCTCTGTTCTTTATATCATATCTCCTTCTGGCTTTTTTGATGTTTAATTCCTGAGTTACAGCTAGTGGATCCAGTGGACAAGGTATTGTGAGAAATGTCAGTCAAACATAAGATTGAAAATTCCTGCTGACCTTTGCTTACATGCTGAGCTGCATCTCTGCCACTATCTCCAACATTCACATTTGGGTTAGGCAGGAGGTAAAATATCTGTAAAGAGACGTGGTGTGAATTTCCTGAATGGGCTCAGTGTATCAGATATTTAAGCATAAATACCTCTCCAGGATAACGTACCACCTACTGCTGAGTTATTTAATCCACAAATTGCTTCCTTCCACAGCAGTTTCCCACTGTGCCTGTCAGCTGATGCCTTGTACTCACACTTATTTCCTTTCACAGTCTCTTGGAGCTCCAAAACATCAAGACTGTAGACATTTTCAATTATGAGTAGTGATATTACCCATTTATAGAAAACTGAAGAATAGATAAGAAATCTATGTTTTATCAGCTTGTGTTCTATCTTCACAATGATTTTTAAGTTATTTAGGTACTTTTTCAACCTTCAGGGCTATAGAGGGATTTGTTGTAGTTTTTATGAGATGCTCTGACCATGATCTCCATACTGTTTTCTGCAATATAAGCAACCATCAGAGGGATGTTTTACAATAGCTCTTGTTGCTTTCTGATTAATGCAGCTCTGTTTTTATTCTTCCAGTGCCCCAGGGTCCTATACCAGAGCGACAGCTGCCTCTCCCTCTCCTCTTAGCTGTGGTGTCTGTGATTGTGGTGCTTGGAATGATCCTCACTTGTGGCAGCCTGTCTATCAGTAAGATACACTTACTTCTTATCACCCTTTGACCTGGCTTTTTCCAGCTAAATTAGACAAAAGGAGACCACCTGGACATGTGTCAGTGCTTTCAATACTTGGAGCCAAAGAGTTGTGGTCTCCCAAGTGGATTGGAGGAACAGGGAAAAAGAAATGATAGGAAATATCACCACCCACAGTTAGGTACAAGCATAGTCCGAAAGGGCAAGGACTGATCTTCCCCAGTATTTGCCAAATAATAAAAGCTAGGGAAGCCTTCTTAGCAGGTGTTTCTGTAGCAGCCACTGTAATAGCAGATGAAATCACAATCTGTAATTAAATATATAATTCATTCAAGGAGATGGTTTGCTTTTTGGGACTTGATGTCAGCAAGATGTCTTGTGGAGCACTCTTGCTCAGCCAATGCACAAAGCAGCATAGGAAACCCGAGGTGTTCCCAGGTGATTAGGTGTTTGCAGGAATAACACTGTTTACATATCCAGTACTAAATCACTGAAGACTGTGAAGAAGAGCATGATACAGCAAGCCAGAGATGTTTCTGGACCATTTATAATTATGGGACTGGTGCATTCTGTTCTGTGTGGCCAGCATTATCTCTTCTGTCCGGTTATAGATCTGGTTTGTGCATTTTTATTCAACTCTCCATCTGCAGTTTATCACCTGAAGAAGCAGCAGCTGGAAGGATCCAGAGCACGACTGCAGAGCCCAGAATATAAACTGAGCAAAATTCGCACATCTGTCATCATGACCGATTACAACCCCAACTACTGCTTTGCAGGGAAGGCTGCCACTCTGAGCGAGCTGAAGGAGATCCCACGGAAGAACATCTCTCTGCTTCGGTGAGAAAACAAGGCCCACCTCTCTGGCTGACTGCAAAGCACCCAGTCCAAGTCAGCCAAAATACAACAGAAGTGATGCTAGCTACGTTCTCTAAGATAATTAGATTCCATAAAGTTCTCAAGCAGAAGTGTAAGATCGTGAGTCTCCTGTTCCATGTTCCCACACATAGGTATCTCACCTCTACTGTGATTGTGCTGTTATTGCTCTTGCTTCCTGGCAGTAGCTCCCTATCAAATCTATAGCAGTGTGTCTATTTCAGAATTTCCTATCACAAGGAAATTTCCTGTCACATGTTAGGCTGCTCTTCATCATCCAGATGATACTGATAAAAGTTATATAAACTTTAGAAGGAACAATTTGATCATTCTTATGTCATATACAATCTCCTGAAGACATCAGTCTGCAGCCACCTTATTCCATTGCTCTCAATTTTTCTTGTCTTTCTTTTGCCGTATTTGGTGATATACCCTAGGATTGAGCAGGCCTATTTTTTTGTTCAGAACCATCAAGGATCCAACCTCCCTTTTTTAGTGATAGTGACAGAAAGTACTGATAAGCTACTTTCAGAAGCTTTGACATGAAATCAAAACTCTCTTTCTGATTTGTATTGGACTGAATGAATAGAAGAGCTTGGCCAGCTCTGGATCCAAGGACATAAAACATCTGTTCCCCCTCTTCTTTTCTTGCAGGGCACTAGGACATGGTGCATTTGGTGAGGTTTATGAGGGAACTGTGGTAGGCATTGCAGGGGACCCGAACCCTCTACAAGTGGCTATCAAGGTCAGTACCCACAAATTTCTTCTACAGCAATAATTACCCACAAGAGCCATGTTATCTTATAATTATTCCAGCTGGAAATGCATGTGTATCACATGTATAATGGCATATGCTCATGAGTGATTCAGGCTTGGACACATTGCTGCATCCAGGCATTATCAGTTTTGATTTGAGTGTTTTCTCACAAGTTTTTCCACATGATGTATTAAAAAAATCTGTGTTGTTTCTCAATTACTTCCCTTTATACTGAGAGTAGTGCTTTTCTACTGTATGTGGCGTTTTCTGGTAGTCTTTTGATATTGCACAGTGTTAAGGATGCTGTTGTGAATACATATTGCAATTTCACAATAATTTCTCTGTCATTAATGGCAAGAGAAATAGGCTGGTTTTCTCTGAAATTGCTGCTGTTGCATCAGGATTTGTCAATTACTCAGCCCTGAAGTTAAGGATGCTCATATTCTGCCTCTGTTATTTTATAAGCTTGTGACTCAGAGAAACAAATCTGCTTCTCTGAGTTCTGGTCAAGAACATAGCCTTCATTAATTAAAAAAAGTTCTACTGTTATTCATCCTGTCTTTCATGACATGAACTTCCCTGTGCCACTGTACAAATGTGGGTGAAAACCCAGGACACTAATTAGCAGTTGGAACTGCCCAACTCAGTTTCACTATCCAGACTGGAAGAAGCACCAGAGCACAGTGGCAAGCAGAAGGAGAGCAGCATGTCATTCATTTGTGGTAATCCAGTTTATCTGTATCAGGCGAAGATGTCCAAATCTGCTGGCAGGAAAGGAAGCTACAGGGGCATGTGACACAAATATTTAAATCAAGTGGCTGTGCGTGTCATATGACATGCAAGCATGTGCTACAATGTGGACACAAAGAAAGGGGAGAATAAATAACAACTGTCATTTAAAAAACCTTTCTAGGTCTGAATGTCCCCATCTAATATTTTTCTTGATGTGTACCTGAAGATATTTTTGTTCCAGAATTGTGCATGGAGTTCAATTCACACACACACACAAAAAATTTGAAGTAGGTCGCTGTTTCCTATCCTGACTTTAACTAACAAATGGGTCACATGCAGTGCAATAAACTGGGCACTGAAAGGACGAGCCCTTGCTCTTGTGTTCCTGAGGTGATTTACATGTTACATGCTCATTCTTTTCTTTTTTTTTCCTTTTTTCTCTGGTGGCCACACAAATATTCTCAATTCTGTGACGGGATGGCCCTCACTGCCTTTACTTCTCAACAGACCCTGCCAGAAGTCTGCTCTGAGCAGGATGAGATGGATTTCCTGATGGAAGCATTGATTATCAGGTATAGTTTAAGGGGCTTTTTAATGATAGTGGGCAGGGACAAAAAGAGTAATGCAGGTTATCATAGAATCATTTATTCCCTTGCCTGTGTTCAGAAAATAAGTTCAGTCTTATTTTTCACCAGATGGCATTTTAGTAGCATATGAGGTACTACTCGTTTATCTCAAACAAGATAACTGAGGTTCTTTTGTTGCCTGTTTCTGGTGCTTTAACACCAGTAGGCAACTTGGCTGCACACAGCAGAGGGATGGAGAAGAGAATCAGAAGGACAAGAAAGCTCATGGTTGAGATAAAAACAGTTTAACAGGTAAAGAAAAATCTGTGTGAGCAAACCAAGAAGCATTGAAGAATTCGTTCCCTACTTCCCGTGAGCAGACATGCATTCAGCCATCCCAGAAAAGCAGGACTCCATCATGCACAGCAGCTACTTGGGAAGGCAAATGCCAAACTCTGATTGACCCTTTCCCCTTCTCCTCCTTTCCCCAGCTTTTATAGCTGAGCATGACACTATACAGTATGGGATGTCCCTTTGGTCAGTTGGAGCCAGCTGTCCTGGCTGTGTCCTCTCACAACCTCTTGTCCTCACAGCCTTGTCGCTGCGGGGGGGGGGTGTGTGTGTGTGTGTGTGTGTGTGTGTGTGTGTGTGTGTGTGTGTGTGTGTGAAAAACCTTAATGCTGTGTAAGCACTGCTCAGCAGTAGCTAAAATATCAATCTGTTATCAACACTGTTTTGATCACAAATACAAAACATAGCACCATATGAGCTACTGTGAGGAAAATTAACTCTATCCCACCCAAAAATCATTACAGTTTAACAAAAACTTTGGTTGATTGGTTCTGCTGATCCTGTTCAAAGGAGTAAGAAGGTACAACATTTTTGTACAAACATGTTCTGCATTTGATTTGATGTCTTTGCAAGCTTGACAGAACCTCTATAACGTCCTATGTGGATGACCCTCTGACAGTGAATTATAAGATCTATAAAATCTTCTTGGAAAAGATAACAGACAGCCATTCCTATTACCACCTGTACTTTAGGTATTCCAGCCTTAGAATTTACTTTATTAACAGAAATCCATAATCTGAAAACAATAGTAGGATCATGGATGACTTTAAAATAGTAGCACAGTCAAGGTTAATTGTAAGTACTTGGAATTTATATATTTTGAATTTGTGCAATGTGAAGTTCCTCTTCTCATTGTCTGGCCCAGCTCATACGTAGGTGCTGGTATTTCTGCTATTAAATCATGAATCTCATGACATAGTACCACTCCCTACAGTCTGCAAGAAATTTGGTAGCTGAACAGGAGGCAACATTGATGTGTTTTTTTAAAGAGCAATTTTAATCAATTAAGGAGTGCCTTGATTCACTTAGTAGCAAGACTTTTTATCTTCCCCAACTTCCTTTCTATTTTTAGTTCCTTTATTATCCAGGTAATCATTATCTAAGGGAAGATACTGCTGTCTAATGACTGAGTCTTACTGTGCTTCGTGACAATCTCAGCTTCCTTTTATAAAAAGCAGAATCACATAAGCAGGTGCTGCAGTAGGTATTAGCAGTTTAGTCTCCCTCTGGCAGACTAAACATTGAACTGAGTCCCCCAAACTAGACAGCACTATGTCTAAAATAACCAGTGCTAAATTAAAATTCCTACCAGCCAGGACTTTGTATCACAAATGCCAATGAAATTTTCATGCTTAACTTTCTTATCCCTCTCATGTCACTCTCGTCTTTCAGTCAGTGTGTCCATGAAATTCTGTCTTCGCAGACAGAAGACTCTGCTTTGCTTTCAGCTTTTCATACCTTCTTTTGAAAGCTTTTCATGGGCAAAGCCAGGCATAACCCTGCTCTTGGGGCTGTCATAACCAGAGAGGCATTTTGATACGGCTGAAGATGTTTCGGTAACCGCATCAGGACCTGCTTCAGTCCAGGTTATCAAATCTCAAGGCAGAATGAGAATGGATGGATGTTGGCCAGGTACTAATGCTGTGTTTCTCTTCCATGTGCTGTTTGACCTTGGCTTTCAGTAAGTTCAATCACCAAAATATTGTGCAGTGCATTGGTGTCAGCCTACAGACACTGCCTCGCTTCATTCTGCTGGAGCTCATGGCTGGAGGAGACATGAAGAGCTTCCTTCGACAGAACCGACCCAGGATGGTGAGAGAGCTTCCCTGTGAGGCTTGTGGTTGATTTTAGTATGACTGCTTTTATGTTTTTATCAACTGGATAAAGGCACTGAAGCCAAGCTAGGCTGTGTGTGTGTCCCAGCTCCCACAGACTTCTGGATACCAGTGTCTGTTTGCCTGATGCAAGCAGGTGTCAGTGAGACAAAATCAAAGCATGGCAAGAAACTCCAGTAACTTAGGAGTCAAAATCCTGTCATGCCATTCTAGACTTCTCTGTCAATTTGACTATAAATAATTGGTCCTCCTTTTTTCAATACCTGCTTTGTTTTCTGTGTACTGTGATGGCACATGAGGAGATAAAGTTATAATCAGAATTCATAGCACTAAGTCCTCAGCAGGTGTGCATCGGCACCATATAGAGAGGTACAAATTTATACCAGTTGAAGAGCTGAGCCTAATTTATTTGATATGTCTCAGACTTTGATTAGCAGTGTAGTAATTTCTCTTCACCCTTCCTGAAAGCAATAAAGAAGTTCCTAGAGAAAAACTGACAAAAATTTCCCTACGGAGAACTATGTAAAGGGGGTGAAAATAAGCAGGGCTCCTGGAAGAAGTTTTCTTTATTGGTCTTAGGGAAGTGCAGATGGAGAAGGGTTAGTACCAGTCCTGGAGTCCTGTAGTAAAGCATCCCTTTTTTGTATACTGCTCCTGAGCGTAATCACTGTTCTTCTACCAGGTACAGACAAGCTGATGAATGCTGATGTTGGTGTAAAGATGTGCACTTGTGCATTTTTACTTTCTCTCTCTCTCTCTCTCTCTCTCTCTCCTGTTCATGCACTAATTCCTGTTCGTAATTTATTGACTCACTCTTTAAATTAGGTGCTTTTTTATTCTCTTCTGTCTCACCTTTTAAACCTGCTTGTCTTTTGATTTCATATAACACAGTAGGGAATAGTTCTCTCCCACCCCCTTTAACAGGCTATTCACACCAGGCCATAAATCTCTTGCCAGATTGCACTCATGTGCGGTGCTCAAGGGAGGTGAAATCTCCTGAAAATTTTTGGGATTAAACAAGAGTTTACTCATTTTCTAATTCTTTGCTTTGATCTACTTTATGTTCCTCTTTGCTCCTGACTCATTTAACCCTTCCCCCATTCTGCATGTATGTCTCTCCCTTTCTCTTCTTCTGTCCTTCTCTGACTATACCCTTCCCGAATAGATATTCTTCTGCTTCACTATCCTTCCCTTACCATTTCATGTCCTTTTCCAGAATCAGCCATCCACACTAACAATGCAGGACCTGCTGAACATAGCTAGGGATATTGCCTGCGGCTGTAAATATCTGGAAGAGAATCATTTCATCCACAGGTGAGGAGAAACAGTCTCTTCTAATGTGTCTCAAAGCCCATCAGGCTCATACACTTTCTATTTGCAGTGGATTAGACAGGACTTATCTCCGCTGGGGAGACAGATTATTTCCTCTACCAATGCAGGCTTGTGCTCAGATGACCAGGTGGATGTCCCTGGGGATTTTTAGGAGTTAGGCACCGTACCGCTCTTCGCAGTCCTGGAGGGAGGGCGGGCAATGTTCTGTTCCAAGTGAGAGGGCTTAAGTACTAATTTTCAAGTGCCAGCAATGTAAAGACAGTTGCGATTAGCCCTGTCGTCCACTAGATGGTAGTGTCACACTGTATTGGCTGGTAAAACAATAGGTATTTATTTCCTTTCTCATCTCCCTATCTTGACTTAAAGGCTTTCCCTATCCCACCAGCACAGGACAGTCCATAATATTGGAGCCAAAGACTAGAGAAGGGTAGAGCAAGGATGACAGGAGATAAAAACACATCTCAGGCTTCCTTCTCAGCTCAGTGTCTGACCTGCTTGCATGGTCTTAGGAAGCCCATATTTGTTTCTTCAAATTCCTTTTTGCTCATTTGTTGAGCAAAAAATGTTGATATAACATGCTTCAAGTAAGACATTATTATAAAAGGGATAAAGGTCATATGTACCCTTTTAAAAATTTTAAAAATTTTTGGTTTAGAGTAGTTTCAGCTCATAATGTTCCTAGGCACAATGGGCAACTGGATTCCTTACTGTGAAGTGCATGCTGTGTTCAGTGCTTGTGTGTAAAGGAGAGAGAGAGCCCTTGCACACCAGAGAGTCACACAGGCTCTAAGTAAACCAAGGTGGAGCTGTGCAGGCAGGAAACTGACTCACCCACATGTGCAGCACGTGTGAGGCTGCACAGAGATGGGAAACAGTGGGCAGGGGCTGGAGAAATCCAGGGAAACAAAGGCAAACAGCCGTTGGAGCAAAAAGCCAGGAGGTTGAGATATGGGAATATGTTATATGGCTTTATGATTAGAATATCTGAAACAGTTTTATGCTGTTTATATTGCAACAATAAGGAAGTTCTGGTGGAAAAGGGTTAGAGATTTCTGTCATTAAAAAAGAGCAGTAAGAATGTGCAACAAGTTGTGGCTCTTAATAACTACATGAGAGGATCAGTATTCTAATTGGAAACCTCTGATTTAATCACTACAGCATTATATTTTACAATCCTTACTGCAATAGTAGCAGGAGCGTGTGACTTTAAAAAACACCAAAACTCTGGGTCAATCTTTGCACTGTTAGATCTCTAATATAAGCAACCTGGGAATGGATTCATTTTGTCTTAGCCAACAATTCAATAAATCTGAGCACAAGGAATTTCCCTCGGGTTTTTTATTAATATTTGTTAGTGATGTCAGCATTGCTTAGAGTGGTTGGTAAACAAAGAAGGCTTTCATTCCAGATGTTAGGAATCCTAGGGGTAAAACATTGTAGTGGGGTTGTAGAGAGGCTTCTATAGGGCAGGAATTGTCATCTAGGAGTCACAGGTGATAATAGAAGAGAAAGTTGAACCTGACTTCCAAATCCTCAGAGACTTTTCGAGGTTGGCAGTGGAAATAAACATATGAGTTGTTCAAGGAGCTTATTTTTCTTGGCAGTCAACAGGACCCCCACAGTCCTAGAATTCTAATGACTTTCTTTTCAGAATGCATGTTTAAAATTAACAGAAATATTTTAGCCTTGGCCACAAAGGCATCACTTCCATTTCTCACAAGCTAAACTTGCACCCAGCTAACAGCTGCTTCCATATGGAGCTTTGATTCCATGGGAGATATCCAGAAGTAACAAAGCAACAGATTATCAAATCTGGTTCTACATGACTTTTCAAGCAGTTTACTAAGACTGTCCAACAGCATCACATCTGTAACTGATGAGGATACTGCTGAGATGTCCCTCAAAAAAAAAAAATAGAGCAAGAAAGAAATCTGTCATAATGTGGTTGAAGCAAAAGAGGTTAGGTCTGTTCCTCTTCTGATACAGATGCTGTTTTCTGCCTTAGTGAAAAAAGGTGTGAATGGGGAAAGCTTGGCAGATGCTGGGTAGAAGATACAATTCAAATACAGTTTAATAATTGTGGTTAACAAAAATGATAATGTAACTGGAATTCTTTTAATAAAGAGCCTTTAACAGGGCTCTTCACATTTGTTTAAAGATTACTCAAGTAAGATTTGCAGGACTGGGTCTAATACTTTTTCTTTATTCCTTTAACTAAAGAGTTTAGAATTAGAATTTTTTTATTTTTTTTAAAGAGATATAGCTGCAAGGAATTGCCTTTTGACCTGTACTGGAGCAGGACGAATAGCCAAAATTGGTGACTTTGGAATGGCCAGGGATATTTACAGGTAAGTGAAGGGCAATTTCAGTTCTGTGAGTAACTCAGTAATCTGTATAATTTTGACAGGTTTGAATTGTTTCATGATATATGAAGCAGTGGATTCATCCATTAGGGGTCTGAATTTGATGAGCAGTTAACTAACATGTTAACACACTGTAAATTAACAGATCTACACTTATGAACAAATCCACTTCAACTGTGGCCCCAGGAAACTACAAACATTTGCAGACACTAAACCAAGCACAGGCAAATTGATTACCTATTTGGTCATAAATAATCTTAAATTGAAATTAAAATTAAAAACCCCCAGCAACCATAATTATCACTTGATTATGTCAAGAAGGCTTGGTGCACCAACACCCTGTGCAAAGCATTTGCAAGTTTGATGTCTTTAGCTGTGCAAAAGAACATCCTTGGTTTCCATCTCAGTTGCAAAGAGGATATAAAATCCTGCTTCAATGCACTATTTGTGTTGATGACTTTTCCATTTTCTGACTTGGCCCCCACTCTTACTTGCAATCCCCAGCTGCTGTTACTGTGGTGATAAGATCTTTTCTGTATCAAAGCCCTTTCAGGCTGTGTGACGTTCTCTGTGTATTTCATCTTTCCCAGAGCAAGTTACTACCGCAAGGGAGGAAGAGCCATGCTTCCTGTCAAGTGGATGCCACCAGAAGCTTTTCTAGAGGGCATTTTCACCTCCAAGACTGATACCTGGTAATAAATGCATTTTAATTACTTCTGCTACCTACTGAAAAGCATCAAGAAATGTACTGGTCAAGAAAAAAAAAAGTGTGCTCAGCAATAACCTTAAAAAAGTCAGAATTGCCCAGAAAAATACAAGAAGTCTTCCCATGCATTCAATAGAAGTATGGCTAAAGAATCTAGAATAAGATTTAAATGTCAAATGTAAATACAGGTAATAAAAATATGCTATTCATAAAAGGAGAATATCACAAAAAGCCAATCAAGAAGTAAAAGGCAATAGCAGATTAGATTCCTAGAAAGTCTCAGTTAAAAATTGAGACAAATATCATCAAATACGTCCCTCAGCCTTCAGAAACTTCCAGTTTCCATCAGTGACAGGGTCTGCTTATAACCCTTGTAAATTACTCTGTCTGTACCACCCAGGATCACTTTCTTGTGTATTTTTTTCTTGTTGTACATAAAATGACAGCAGGTTTAATCAGAAGTCCTTGCTGGTTGCTGAGGAAAAAATATTTATATACTGATTTCTCATACAACTTGAGCTTTCTTTAAAATTAGCACCCCCTCAACAGTAGCACATTCATGCACAGGTGCTGGGGTATGGAAGCTTTCCAGTTGCTCAAGAACACTTCTTTCTCTGTACAGCAGATCCTTCAATATGCTGTACTGAGGCATTCCCTCAAATGCCACACTGACCCAGTTTCCTGAAGTTGTTAGCGATGCCGGAAGACAAGGATTGCTTATCAGCGCCTAACTGTGAGCAGCCAGCACTAAATATTTTGAAGGAAAGTGCCACAGTTCCTGTGATAGGCTATTATAAGTAGCATGCATATACTGGAAATTACTTTGACCTTTGTAGCAAAAAGTGACTGAAAATTCTGACTCCGCTGATGTCCTGGCAGAATTCTCTTGACTTCCTTGTGTCTAAGTCATACATAATTCCTAGTGGCACTGACTATCTGACCTGTGGATGTAAAAAAAGCACAACCATATCAGAAATGCTGCTGCCTTTCAGTTTCATTAGATGTCTCTCCCTTGATTTTATACTTGAGCATCTTGTTCTGAAACATTGATTCAAATATTAAGGAAAAATTTGAAGGTCCCTGTCTGACCATTTAGGAGCCACTCCAGAAGTTACCCTTGCACCACTTGACCTGGGTAGAGGCCCCTTCACAGCTACACCCCCCACACTCACAATCAGACCAGGTTTCCTTACATGCTTGGCCCCAGGTTTCCCATTGCAGGGCCTCAGAGGTCGGGATATTTAATCAATATGCAATAACAAAATAATGACTTGAGCTCCTTCCTCTGAGGAGGGGCCCCAAACAAAGGAAGCCCTGGGCTTTTATACCCTCACAATCTAAATGTGCCAAAGTCTGGAGTCATTGGCTCCTGCTGTGTCTCTGAGTGTCCAGTCACCTGGCAATGCCACAGGTCCTCGTCCCTCATTTTGCAGAGTGTCGGTGCCAGGTCACAGCTTCTTGCCTTGGGCTTCTGCCAGCCAGAGCTCAACCTGCAGCCAAGATACCAGCACCAAATGTATTCCTCAAAACAAACATCTCAAGTTTTCCCTAGTAAGGCAAGAAACGTCCATGCCAGATCTAACAGTTCTTTTTAGTTAGACCATCCACAGCCAAGGGCGCTTTGGCATTTCCTGCTCTACTAATAATGAATGCAGCAGAAAGAACACCTTCAGAATTACTAAATATTTTGAAACCTCTGCAAAACTTGTTTTGGAGCTTGAGCAAAGGTTTTGATTGATTGGGGTGTCTTCTTATGTAAACATTGACTCATTATCACACTAATTGCATATTACTGTCTTTGGACTGCAGCTTTGAAAGGTCATTGCTGTGGTGTTGCCTACGCAGCTGCAAGCTAGGTTTGTGGAGCACAAATGGAACCTGATTGGTATTGTTGGCTGGTTTCTGACACAGGTCCTTTGGAGTGCTGCTTTGGGAGATTTTCTCTCTAGGCTACATGCCCTACCCTTGCAAAACCAATCAGGAAGTGCTGGAATTTGTCACCAGTGGAGGAAGAATGGATCCACCAAAAAACTGTCCGGGGCCAGTGTAAGTATTTCCTTACTCTCACAAGCCAAGGTGTAATACGTGTCAAAAATGTGGACAAAGACACTTCTACTCAGGGAATGGTGATTGCCCCCTGTGTTAGGTGGGTTTTGCTAAATATGTCTTGAGATACTGCCTCTTGTATACAGCTTAGAGCACTACAGGATTTGCTTTAAATAGCAGCTCCCCAGTCGGACAGGATCCAGGGAAATAGAAATTACAGATCCACTTTTGCACTCCTCCTTTGAGCCATGTACCAAGTGTGGTCCCTTGGACCACTGATCACTTCACACCGAAACACTTTATACAAAATAATCTTGATCAATTTTTTTTTTTTTTTTAACTTTAAGGTACCGGATCATGACACAGTGCTGGCAGCACAGTCCAGAGTATCGGCCAAACTTCTCTACCATCCTGGAAAGGATCAAGTATTGCACCCAGGTACTTTGGTATCCAGGTGGATGATAATCCATTGAATGCATTATCAACTATCTAAAGGCATTAGCTTTAGTCCCTAAAGCAAGTGAAGTGTACTGGCAGACTGATATAATTACACTACTAGTGTGGTGGTGCTGTTGGCTCTTTTCCAGTGTCCACCCTCACTCTTCCATCTTCCACCCAGCCATAATGAGCATACACTGTGCAAATGGGTGCTTTTAGCTCTCAGCTTGTTCAATTGCAAATGTCCTTCATTTTGTGATGGAAAGGTATTTAGATCTCTCTCAAGGTCCATATTCTGACCTTGCCTAATGTTGCTCAAAAGCCACAGCTGAATAGTTATTGAGTGGAGAGGGGGAATGAAATGGCACAGTGAGTTCATCATCCAGTAGCATTGAACAGCTACAGGTCTGGATCCAACCTCTCAAAAGAAAAATTTTATACTACAGATCCCCAGCTTAGTCACTGATTTCAATGAAGCATAGCCTTTTCTCAAAGGAGGCATATAAGTCTTAACAGCATGTGATGTCCAGATGGAATATAGCACCTTGCGTGATGTGCAGGAGTATTGCTTAAACCTGTGACAGTCACCCTGAAGGTGTAACAGACTCTTGTCTCGCTTTTGCAGGACCCTGATGTGATCAACACTGAGCTGCCCATGGAGTGTAGCCCTGCATCAGAGGATGAAGGGAGTATGGTCATGCGCCCAAACATTTCCAGTGGGATAGTGCCACTGCTGGTAAGCCCTTCTCTCACCCCTCAGACAACACCTAAGACACTGGAATCCCACCCTGCTGGGCACAAACTTGTACCATGTCCACAAGAGCTACTGGTGGAGAACCTGAGCAGCCGGACTGCCCGAGGGCCCAGCCTGCCATGCCTCAGTGATTTCAACAGTGGGTCATGGTTCCAGCAGGCCTCAAACCAGAAGCTGGAGCTCAGCAACCCATCCGTTCACAGACTTAAAAACAAAACAAAAAATCTTTGGAACCCAACATATGGATCATGGGTACTAGAGAATATCTGTCACTTCAGCCCCAGCTCCAAGCTCCAAGCAAATCCAGAGAGGGAAGATTCAGGCTTTGATGGGAATTGCAGTTCTCCTAGCTCTCGGGCATCTCCAGCATCTCCAAGTCAAAGTAACTGCCCTCACCTGGATATCAGTGGGATTGAACTGGTGAAACTGCAGACTTTTCCCTGTGGCAATGTAAATTATGCTTATGATGACCTGTGCTATAGTGCCGAGCACCAGCCATCAGCCTTGGCAGAGGTCAGAGCAGCTGTGCTAAGGAGCTCCAGTCTGCACAGAGATGATAAGCCTTTTTGTAAAAAAGAGAAAACATCAAGAGAGAGAGACTCTGGTCTGTCTTTGTCAGATGACCTGAGTGTTACTCCAGTATAGTAGAAATGTTTCTTCCAAAGATCAGGGAATGTGTGCGTCTGGAAGGACTGCTTCCTGTTTCACTAACTTCCTCCATTTTAGTTCCATCAGATGGGTGAAGTTTCAACATCAGCAATGTTCTGCTTCCTCTGTCTACCTGCTGGATCCCACATCATTAAAGACACTTGCATTTCTATCTCTGTCCTTCAAATGCGTCCCCCTGAACCAGCTCAGAAGTGGAGAACAATGGCATTGTTTGTCTGATTCAGAATACGGTTCCTAAGGAAAGAACTCCTTTTCAATCTGCTCAGGTGAAAAGAAATGGACCTACCATCTAGCTGCAGTATTTGGATGGAAATAATGACCAACACAGGTTGTGCTTCTTTCTGAACCAAGAATCTAAAAATGTGCGCTGTGCCAGCAGCAACCAACTTGCAAAGGCTGCTACATTCTTTTTACAGAGAGAGCTTTTTACAGTCCTGGTGAATTACTAATGCTTAGGCACTATAAGGGAAGTTAAAAAAAATAGCAGCCACATTTGCATCTGTTTTATTAGTAGACCTTGTGGAAGCTGTTGCTCAAATTGGAAGCAGTAGGAAGAATGAAAAAAAAAATGGGCTCCTTTGAGCATGTGCTTTGTAAACAAGCAATGAAGAGGACAACATTTACCATTAAAAAAGCAGTTGCTGGTGGAGCTGATAATATTCCTTTGAGTAATGAAGGAAATGTGCTTCTTGCCTCATGGTGTTGCTTTCCTCACAGCTCCTGGCATCGAAGGTGCAGGTGGTTTTTCAAGGAAGGGTGAGCTGCATGGTGTGATGAGAAATAGACTGTCTTTATCTTTTAATGGACTTTACTTAAAATGAACTTCACTTTTGTAAGTACTTTGATATTCAGCATTAGTTCTCCATGCTGTGTTGGTAACAACTTAGCTGAGGTTCTTGGGTAACTATCTAGCATTTGATATGATGGGGTTCTTGGTTTTAAAACTCTGAGGTAGAAAGTATTGCAAAGGAAAAGAATTGTGAAGAGAAATCTAATGCAAACCCCACTTAGGGCGTCCTTTCTGCAGGAAAGAATAGCTCAACCATTTGCGAAAGCTAAAGCCATGACTTGGCTTCATACAGCTAAGCAGGTGGTAATTGTTCCTTGCCTTGCAAGTGCAGACTTGCTTATAAAGGTAGTCATTTGTTTCCAAGACAGCTCATTTCTATGGCTTTCTTCAGTTGTTTAGGATCTAAATTCATGTTTATGGATTAAAGCTGCAAAATAAGGAGACTGAAAAGGCAAATAATTTGGATTAAGTCTGAATAGTCCTGGAAGCATTCTGTTCTTGTACCACTCCTGAATGTCACACCTACAGTGTGACCTACAGTGGCAAATTACATGCTGTCTTTGTGTGTAATCAAGTTGTGTAGTTGTAGACTTCTCCAGTTCCTTTCCAGGGCAAGAGGTTCTCTGGTGTATGCTTTATGCTTAGTGATCAGCTGTACAGTCTGAAGGTGCAGGCTAGCAGGTGATGGCTTGCTTTGACCACAGACAGTCAGGGTGGACACTACTGAACTGTGGTAAAGAAAATCACAGAGTGCAGAGTCAATCCATCCTCAGTGAAAGGCATCTTCAGCACAGGTTTATGCTTTATTGGTCTGACTTTCTATCTGTTCCACGCTTTGTATAGTTTTAGGCCTCTGACTTTAGAATGGACAGTTTTATACAATGTCAATTCAGAGCATAGAAATATCTTGAGAGTAGCTGTCGAGGATGGGAGCAGACTCAATTCAGTGGTACCCAGCAACACAACAAGGGACAACAGGCACAAACTGAAACATAGGACATTCCACCTGAGTATGAGAAAAAACACTTGTTTACTTTGAGGGTGGGAGAGCACTGAAACAGGTAGCCCAGAGAGGCTGTGTAGTCTCCTGCTCTGGAGACACTCAAAACCCACCCAGACAGGATCCTGTGCAAACTGCTGCAGGAGAACCTACTTGAGCAGGGAGGTTGGACTAGATGATCTTTGGAGGTCCCTTTTCACACCAATCCTTCTATGATTTCCAGACATAAAGGGTGATGATGGTCACCTTTCAGCAAAGACCCATATGGTGTGGAAATAATTCTAAATTCGTGGTGTTGTAAAATGACAGATCATCAGAAGAGAGGGGTCCTTCTGTGTGGGGCAAATTTCAGTAGAAGTGTGGGGACTCATGGGTGTAGTGACCAAGGGAGATGAATGACCTTGCCTCATGCCCTTCTTCCCATTTCACTTTTGCTTTAGCTCTCTAGCTTCTCTCACATTTAATTCATTGCCTGTCCTGTCTTATATTCAGGAGTTGCTACAGCCCAGTTAGATGAGGCAGAAGAGCCCATTTAGCAGGACACTTTCTCATTCTTTTCTCTTGCAAAGGCTAACATTTTTGGTCATATTTCAAACTGGCCACCTCTGGACCATGCTAGTCAAAAATAAATGCATTTACTTTTAACTAATTTGAATTTCTGCAGTTTGTCCTTACCTTTCAGATTGTATTACTTTTATGGTTCATACATTAGTAGGTTTTTCCCCCCAGAAGATGACCTATCAAACTTTCCAGTAGTTGTGACTTGGTGCCACAAGCCCCTTCCCCCCGAATATGAGATAAGGCCACAGCAGAGGGCAGTGATGCGGGTTCAGCTGCAGTGGACGTGATGCCAGCACACTCTTCAGCCCTTGTCTGTCCTGGGCAGAGCACTGGTGGTCATGGCCATGCTTTTGCAGACCCATTATGACTCTGCCTTCAGTTCTCCTTAGCCATTAGCAGGGGCTGGAAACTGATGGCAATAGGAGTGAAATACTGGCATGTTCAGAAACCATGGGAAACTAACTATATTACCTTCTCTTCCCAGAGACTTTTAATGAAGTAGCAGATAGAAGACAGTTCTTCATATTTTTAAATTACTATAAAATACCCCAAGATTCCAGTGAGAAGCAGGCATGATCTCTACTGTCCAGATAGTTACCCAGCTTGAGCTACCACTGTTTGCCCTGTGAAGTACTTACCTCAACATACATAACTCAGAAATTTAGAAAGGCCAGTAGTGATAAAACCAGGGAAGATATTGAAAAGTGAAGTGAGAGGAGGGCACAGTTCTATTACCGGTGCCAGGGGCAGTCTTGGCTGCAGCTATGCCTTCATTTTATAAATAAAGTGCAAGTCCAGCACATCGGACAAATACCTGATTTTACCGAATAACTGCATCAAGGTACTCATTTACAGGGAGCACATAGACAAAAGCTGCACTGACACTGAACAGACATCTATCCTGACCAGGATCTTATCCCTAAAAGTGATCAAGAGTGGGATGTTGAAGAGCAACTGTAAGAGTAGAGTAAGCATGTATTGATTATTTCTTTCCAAAACAGACCCTGATAGTATACAAGAGCATTTAGCTCAGGGCTGCACTGAGCCAGATGCAGTCTTTTCTAAAAAGACAAGACATGGAGATGCAGGTACCAAATGGGCACTTAAAGAAAGAGCTGGGAATTTTAAAAGAATCTGCATTAGCAACCTCAATGCTCTTAACTCTCCCAAATGGAATGATCTTCTGTCAGCATATGCCGTGAATCTTTGACCTGTAACAATCTTTTTTTAGATGCTGTTTAAAAACCCTCACAGATAATGCATTTTTAAATAATTTCCTGGAGGAAATAATTTTATTATCGGTCCTGTTGTGAAATTGAATGCTACATGCTGTACAAACTATTTTATCTCAAAAGAAAAAATAACAATTGCAGTGATACACACTACAACCTTCAGTCCTTCAATTCTGAGACTGAAACTTACTGTTTGTACAATCAGAGATTTCATAGTACTCAACTGCTAGCATTGCAAAACATAACTTGCGTGAAACTACTTTTTAATAAGGAGACATTTTTAGTGCATCACCAATGAGTTAAACTTATGGTGTAAAAATTAGATTAATTTGGAAACTGGAAGCCAAAACCCAATTTTGTTTCCTAGAGGAATGACATGACATGGAGATCTGGGATTAATTCAGTCCTATAATCCATGTGAAGTCTTCCATTACTTCCCTACTGCAGAATCAGCCATTTATAGCGTTGTTATAAATTGCTCTTCCTGCTAGGTGTCTGTCTTTTAAGATTGCCAAATTGGTTTTGTAATTGTATGTATATAGTTGTTTTTTTGACTGTGTTTAGCATTAATACTTTATGTTGCTTCACACAACCTCATACTTACATTTTAAAGAAGGGACTGATTAACAGAAGATGAAACAAAAATGGAAATTTCCATTTGTCTTTCTCTGCTTTTTCACATTTGTTGATAGTCCTGCTTCTCATTTCTTTGTAATCCTTGCTCTCCTCAATATAAACGCTTTGCATCTTCATTTTTTCCTTTAAACAAACAGAATGTTTAATTGCACAGATTTAAGGTGCTCCCCCTCATATAAACCCATTTCCTGAGCTAAGTTCTCAATTAATTTGTCCATGGGCTGGTGTGCACAAAGAAAGCTTTCCAAGGGTGCTAAAATAGTTATGGGCTTTTGCAAGTGTAACTAACTTCACCTTCAAGACACTCTCCCGACTTTCCTGAAAAAGAAGAAATTGCTGCTGCTGGGAATACCTTTTTCCCCACTGTATTTGCATCTCCACATCTGTGTCAGAAAGGGACCAGACTTCCTTAGACCCTTGAGCTGAGACCCTTGAGCACAGCTGTGCTCTCTCCTCCTGGCTGTTCACCCTTCTCAATCCCATGCACAGGCCTTAGAGATACCATGCCTAACATCTTCCCACCACATCACACAAACAGAAAAGTCACATGAGTAGGTTTTGATTTGTCATCACCTGGAACCAAGGCAGCACTTCTGCCAACTTACCTTTCTGGGTGATTATTGTACATAAGTAGATGACAAGCCTGCTTCTATGCAATTTAAAGCTAGACAAGTGTATACTTCTATATTTGCAACACAAAATAAAGAGACACTAATGGTGGATATTTGTTTCCCTCTCTTATGAGTACTCTTTGCACACTCTCTGTGGTAAGAATACACTCTCTCTTGCTGAGAAGTGCTGCCAGTCCTAGAGAGTTGAATGCTTCTTTCCCATGTCCACACAAAACTGCCCAGGGGAACAGTTTAGTGCTCTGAGTCCGACAAGTGCCTCTTGGTGCATTTTTTTTTAATAAGCTGTAGGCTATTCACTGAGTTTTCTGAGAGAGATCTCACCTTGAAGGAAGCTGACAAGCTTTGTGTGAATCAAGTTCAAAAGGTAACACCAACAGGTTTTGGAACCAGGTTCCACCATTTGGCTTCTGGTTTTGCTTTAGGAAGTACCACATGGTAAAGACTAAAAGCAGTGAAACATAACTGTTTTTCTCCCTTTCCTAATGAAATTCTTGAAGAAAAGATATTATTCTCACATGACCAAATCACAGTAGATGTCTTTTTTTCCTTCAGTCTGATTTATTTAGTAGCATACACACTTCAGAGTAACAAACACTCATCCAATACAGTCAATGTCAGCATTGCATTGTAGTGTTCAGAACGGATGCATGTGGATGATACAGGCCATTTGATCTCAGTACCTTAAGAATAACAAATAATAACAACAGCAATAAAAAAGTAGCAAAAGCCTTCTGAGAGACATTGAAATCTTTCCCTTTAACTGGAACTGGATCAGACGTTAAGTGAATACCTCCCTGTACAAAATTTAGAGGGATTTTTACCACTTTGGTTAAATTTTAGCCGAATGTATATCTCTGTGGGGCCTCAACATCCATAATTTTTAAACTTATCTGATCTATCTCTGTGAATTTTTTCTATATTGCACCTTCCTCCAAAGAATCTCACAGCAGCTTGCAGGCACTAATGAAGGAGAGCCTCACACCATTGCCACGAGTAAGTAGTTCTATTCCCATCTGTAAAACTGGAACAAAACTATGCCTAGGAGAGTTGTCCAAGGCCAAAAAAACCCCAAGTCAATGATGAAACTGAGGGAGAGAAGTCATAGCCCTATTTCTTAGTCCTACAGTCCTACTTCCCTAGTCCTACAGGAATGCAGCAGCTACAGCACTGCTGCATTTAACTAGTGAGTTTAAGGACCTTGGAGCCCAAGTCAGAGGTCATCTGCCCAGCACCAAAATGCCTCTAGGCCAGCATCTCTGACCCTGCTGTGGAACCACATGTACTCAGTGTGATTCCTCCAGAGTGAGGCACTATCTCAGCAGATGCATTAATGAACGACATTCTGGACTTGCATGTGAACGAACTCCTTGGTTACCATGCATCAGCTCCCCCTGTGTTACATGCCTGTGCATGTGCACCATGTTGACCCTCTGGTAAATAAAAGCTTATTCAACACAACTTACCCCACAGTGAAAGAAGGCCATGCTGCTTCCTCACTCTAGCAAGTGAGTGTCCATAGACTGGTGCTCTGGGCCACCTGATGAGAAACAAGGAACCTACGACTTACCATGGGGCAGTTTGCTCCTGAGCTTACAGCCTCAACTCCTTAGAGCTCCAGTGCTCAGCTGAAGTCCTACACTTGCAGTTTGCTATGAAAAGCTGCCTCCTTCTCTCCTTCCCCATAACAGCAACAGATGATTGTGATTTCTTTCTTTCTAATCCCCTAGCGAGACAAAGATCCATTTCAAAACTAACTTCCTAGAACTTACATTCTAGATGTAGAATGAGTTTCCAGATCAGTGTCTGCTATAGCAGAGATTTTCCTTTTTCCCTGACCTTTCCAGCTACTGCAGTGGAACAGACCTTCTCCATGTTTTCTCCCAGGACCATGTACTGCAAAACCAGCCGGGTGCTACCAGGAGTTGTTTTCTCCTTTAGAACTGGGTAGTCATTCTAAAAGTGTGTCTTAAACTCTCTACTGACATTTGAGCACCAACCTCTACTATTTAGATCTCCCCTCCAGAAATAAGGTTACATTGGTGCAAAAGATCCACATGTGGTAACAGAAGAAAGAAATTTAATTCTGAAGACTAATTAGGCAAACCACTAATTAAATTCTGTATTTATCTGATTTCTAACTTTAATAATTCTTTTTAGTTATAGTAGGACAGCTTGCAATTGCAGTCTCATAAAAAAGACAATGTCATTGAAGTCCTGTCTGTGAGACCTATTTACATGCTATTGTCCTTAGGCATTGCTAGTCTCCTTAGGCACAGCTATCCATGGTTTACCTGCTGGCTGTAGAAAAGGAGAAATACCTCTTTTTTTAACTATATGGAATTCACTACAAATTAATTTGTCATCTCACTGCAGTTCAAAAGTTAGGAGGCATCTGGAATGATTTTATCTGTGCTGTCACTTCAAAAAAACCTAATGTAAACACTCTGAAATTTCTAAGTGAAAAATTCATTAACATACTACCATAAATATAAAACAGAGAAACCCTGGGATTTGTCTGAATTGTCTGAATTTGCAGTGAACTGCAAAAATAATTACCAGTTTCAGACAACTTCTGGTTTAAGATTAAATATTTCCACATGTCATTACTTCCTACAGAATACCTACTCTATGTCATCTAACTTTTACATCACAACTGAGTTACAATTTTCAATACTCCTGTTTTGTTTAGAGTTTATGAAAAAGTAATTAAATCTGACTGACCTTTCAGTACGCAACACACTTCAGTGTGTTACCCAAAGTAACTCCTTTTAGAAACTATTTAAGGCTGTCCAACTTTAACTACAAATATTGCAGACTTCATTCCAGAAATAGTAGTTTCCCACAAGTGCAGTCACCTTCATCCAAAGTTCTCAGACTATTTCCTGAGCACAGGAAACCAGCAAAAGACAGGAATTTCTGATCAACATGCATTACTACCTCTAGATGTTGAAAGGGCTTTAACCATCAACTGGTAATGACACTCTTACCTGCATTGTGAAAATCACCACATTATTCAGGTTAAAACCTGGCACGTGAGTCAACATGTGATTAATGATAGTATCTATATCGCCAGCATGTAAAAAATTGTTCCAGTGACTAGAAGCAACCAACAGAGAAGGTATGTAAAACCATTGCAAGAAAACAATTCAATCTTTCTTGATTTTAACCTAGAAACTGAATTTTCTGTGGCTGTGCTTGGGTCACAGCAAAATAATGAAGTACAGATCATCCTGTGATGCCAGATGGGGACTATAGGATGTAATATGTTGATATTCCTTCACCCAAACTGCATGTAGTTAACAGCTGATACCTTGGAGGAAGGATGCCTGGGAATTACCTCATTGTTGTGTAATGCTGTGAATGCAGAAACACACCTCCCTGATTGCTGTGCCACTTTATATGTGTAAGTGGCAGCATCATATTTGAGAATGGGGACATGGCCAAGAAGTCACGTGCATTTTCAGACAGTCAAATCACGATCTTAAGAGATCACGCTGGCTGCTGACTACTAGTGTGTGCATGTGTATAGGGGTTTTATCTTCAAAAATAAACAAGCCTTGGAAGAAAAAACTTAGTTCCCTGACTAGTTTGTGAAAGATCATTAGTGATTTTCAGAGCTGCAGTTCAGCTGTAAGAGGCCTAACTCTCCAACTTAGCAACAAATCCAACAGCCCACTCAGCTGGAAAGTCAAATGTTTTTGGAGACTATAGGCCGCTATTCTCTCCCTAGAGTATTTGTAATCTCCTGAGCGGCTACAGAAAAAGACAAGGCCTTTCTTGGATACAGGCAATCCTAGGGTAGGGAAGGGGAGAAATGGTCAACAGCAGTTAGCCACATCAAGCCACTATAAACTGCTGTCTGTCTTTGCTCCCAGTTTCTTGTGATTATCACCCATTTGCACCTTGCTCACTCTGTAACATAATGCAGCAGAAGTTGTTGGTCCAACCTATAGTGTACACAAGAGCAAGAGGACTTGGAATTAGAGAGGAAAAAACACAGTCTGTTTCCAAAACTATGCAGTTCCCTGAAAGATCGTTTTTCCTGCCCTGAGTTCCCAAGCATTTGTCCTGGTTCTCTAGGAAGCAATTTGGAGTCACATTTTGCCAGAAACCATAATCATTCTGGCTTACCACACAGGCCTCTTGACTCATGCTGGTGTGATTCCCGAGTATGGAGATCTTCATTCTCTGAGGACCAGTCTCAAGTTCATCTGGTGCAACACAGACCAATCTGGAGTAATTCATTTAAGTTCATAGAGGGCTGATGCAAAGTAACTTTGATCACTGACTGCTGGGTTCTGCAGCTCCCTCTGCACTGACAACCTCAGGAGTTTGGAGTTAAAGGTTTCCTTCTAACTGAGTTTCCTTCTACTTCAGTAAAGCAGAAAGTTACAGAGAAGCCCTGCAAGTTTTGTGCCTTTCTCAACTCATCTTTCAGTGATGCTTTCCAAAATGCCAATCAAATTGTCCAATCCCAACAAGTACCCATCCTCCCTGTTGCCTTCTTGCCAGGGGATCCTGTGATCCAGTGTCTGCCCATCAGGAAGAAGGGTGGTCTTTCCAAAATCGATCAGCCACACATTGGCATTCCCACTGCCATCATGTACAAAAAGTAGTGAACTTCCTACGACCTGGAAGACAGATTGAGACAATGTAGTTAAAAATACATCTTCAGCCCTCCCCCACCTTAACACTTCCTGCTAAGAAGATGATCTCTTTAGCTCACCTGTGACCCAACAGACTTTTGGGCTGCACTTACAAATTGATGATTTAGATGCCCCATTTGCATAACTGTATCAATCAGTAAGGTACAAATGGGAGGGTAGATAAGAAATGGGACTCAGTAGAAAACAGGAAGAAAAGCAATTCTTCATCTTACTTAGCATCAGGTCTCATTTTGAGCAATTCAGCAAAGGCCAGTAACTCCTTTCAAAGACAGATCATGACCCATGATTAACAAAAACATCTCTACTGATAAGAGAGCATCAACAAGGTAAAATAAAATGTCTAATCTCAAAATCTTGAGCTGTTAACAAGCAGAAATTACAATGCTAATGATGCCTTCTGCACAACAAAGCACATAGAGAACACAGACAGCAGAATGAAATGGCATTTCAACATAAAACCATTCTAAGTAATACAGCCTTCATTGTCAAACTACAACAGAATGCTACTGTACCAAGTGCAAACTTCCATGATGCCATTCCCCTGTAAATATTCCCAGTGGAGCACATCCAGGTTAGAAAAAACATATGAAACTGGTACTAATAGACTATTCCATGCAGTGGCCCAGAGCTATAAATTCTGGGATGTCATAAAGACAGGAGGATTTATTATTCCTCAGCTAGTTTAATCTCCTGTATCATCATAGTGGAGGCTTTGTGGTATCTGTGTTGTCAACATGTATTAGCTTTCTTCTACAAAACCCCTTCCACTCATACAGCAGGCTGTTCTGAAGTACACCTGGACGACCAAATGAAGAAGCAATGCACCTCCACAGCTTTACACTCACTGCTCACCTCATGTCGCTTGAAAAAGTCTGAGGATTCCAGAATGACATTAATTTCCTGCAGACGTTTGAGGTATTTTTTCTGGAAGAAGAAAAGAAAAAAAACCCAAAGCAACCCATAAACACTTCATTGAAAACTGAATAAAGATAAACTGTTTACAAGAGTCAATATAATTAAGAGATCATATTCATTTTAGGCTAGAGGTCCTTCAAAATAACAGGTTCATCATTTGAAAGTCAATCTGAAAATACATTTCAAGCTTTCATAGTGAATTAACAGACTGGAGTTCATCTGCTGCATGTGTTACACCAGGCATATTTATCTGTCTTGATTTGGATGTCATCAGGCTTTCTGCAACTGTTTTTTGGTTTTTTTTTAATAAAGAGAAAAAGTTTTCATGGAATTAAAAATCTTCCAGTTCCCCAAAGTGAAAAGAAAGAAATTGTGTTAGAGAAACAAGGAGCTCCCACCATGGTGGGAGGCAGAGGGGGGATAAAAAGAATCAAGGCCTAAGGTACAAAGCTCCAGTGCAGATTTTTAAGGCTGCACTGAGCTACCAAGCACGCTCCTCTTGAAGGGCTAATCTGCCTTCATAATGGCTTCCACACTGCAGCAAAACATTACAGCATACTTTGAAGTTCCAAAGTCAAGAGATGTGTTATGCCATCTACCACATGCCTGTTGTGCTACCCATGGATTAGCACACAGGAATTCCTCTTTGAGATGAGTTTCACACATGGGAACACAGCTAGTCACCAATCTCACTTCCTGCCTCCACACTCTGGTTTTATCCTCTCCAGCCTGAATTCCCAAATCACAAGTTTTCCTGCCAACACAATCCTTGCTTAGATATCACCCATCTAATGCATCTAACACCCATGACTGAAGCTGGTGGCAAGCCATAAGTTAGATAGTTTGAATGACATTTTCATAGCATGAGGCATTTGGGGTCAACTAATAGCAAGAGCCGACACAACTGGTTTCAGTCAACTTCTCACAACCCACCAAGTCCCCATGCCCACCCCATCTCCTGAGAGCAACTGGAAGTCAAAACCACTTACCCCCTTGGTGTTCCTATTTCCTATATCAAAGAATGGCTCTGAAGCAAGAGCATTGGTCCAAGATCAGCACACCTGAAGAGCTCAGACTCACCAGAATAGTTGTGTTGCCCTCAATGAATTCCGCAAAAACCTGTAGAACTTGCTCCTGTGTCTTCGTCGTTTTGAAGTTTGTGTTACATGTTCCATCCGCCTTCTGCACAGAACCGCACAGAGAGAGAGATTATTTATACTGCACTCATATCATTCCCCTCATCACTCAATCCTCTTGAACCAGCAACAGCTCAGCCCTCGCTAACCAGATGAAAGTAAGTAGCTGAACAGGAAGAGAAACCAAGCAAGAAGAAGAGAAGAAATACAAAAGCTGATTGGGTAGCTTTAAATGGCACTGGCAGTTCATTTCCTGTTGAGTACAAGTGAAAAAAAAAAAAAAAGAAACAATTATATTACCAGCTTGCGGAGGGTTTTTTCACATCAGTGCTAGCAGTGCAAAGTTCAGTGGGGCAAACCACAGAGACCTCTTTGGTTGTACTCTTGTCTGGCTAGTGAAACCCTGGCTGAGGGTGTGAGGGAACATTTCCAAAACCAATTTTACTAGTCCTTTTAGTTTGGGGGTTTTTTTTTGGGTTTTGGTGTGGATTTTTTTGTTTTTATTTGGCTTTTCTGTTGGTGGTGGTGGTGGTTTTGGTTGTTTCTGTTTTTCAATGGGAAATCAAAGAATTGCAGATAGGATTCCGTTCCAAATATACCTTTGAACACATAATGTGACCCAGAAGTCACAAAACAGAAATCTGTTGCAGACAGGAACAACCTGGGATTTGCAATGCTAGCAGAGACAAAGCAGGTGAGTGAATTTTGGCAAAGGACAGTGCAGGCATGTTTGTTCCAAGTGTGTCCTGGAGAAATTCAGAGTATTTTAAGCAGTAAGATTCAGTACAGAAGCATACCGCTACTGAAAAAAAAGAGTATTTTTATGTGCTTCTGGAGCTATAAGCAAATAAGAGCATGAATTGGAGGGATTTGTAAACAGAATATATGAATATGCATGTCTCCTAGAGCGTCCCTGTTGCTTCAAGAGATACAAATAGATTTTAGGATATGTGCACAGCAATTATTACAATCGGTAACAAAAATCCACTAAAAGCCTGCAGGATTATCAAACTGTTTTCCCCTCCACTGTTTAAGTCTGATCCCTCATTTTCATTGAGTAAATCAGCAGGTCAATAAAATATGTTGTCTCCTACATGTTAAGTCACAGCACCAAAATGACAAATTCACTCAGCAGGTGAAACACTATTTATTCCACAGCTGAACTTCGTTTCTAATGTATACATGAAAAAAATTCAATAATGCTAAAACTCCAGATCTCTCATGCAAGAGAATTTTATTCCGAGGCTGTTGGACAGATACAAGTGCTGCATGTCAGCCTGATGAGACGTGCAATTTATGCCAGAGCAGTTCAGCAGGTAGGCAGTGAAAGTTAGAAGCCATCTAATCTGATGTGTGATAATACTCAACAGCACATAGAAATCTGAAACCTCATCTCGTACCTCTTCACTGGAGCAAGGTTGTTTTAAAAATAATTTCTCCCTATGCTGCAGATTGTAGAGCAATGTCTAGAATAGCTGCTTGGTGTTTGTTCCCTTTCTAACCTTTCGTGTCTGGACAAACTAGTTGCTTGCTTCCCTTTTTAACACTTATGATTTTGCTCCTTTCCAGTGGTTGGCAGGAAACATAATTACTGCCTGTCTTTACTTGCTGTAAAAACATCCAGAGTTTGAATGGCACCACCCCAGTATTCTAAACCTGGGCTCTACACGTACTTGATCCTCAGGAGGCACTTGCCTGACTCACTCCTTGAAGTCACACCTTTGCTAAGGACTCCACATACACTCCTGCACAGCAGAGTAGTCTGTCACACAATGCAGCTTGTGGGCCAATTCTTATTAGATGTGACAGTGACATGGCTCACCAGAGGGCAAGTATCACAGCTCCATAAAATAGTGCTATCCATCTTAAATCACGGGGTCTTGCTCAGAACTCTCTGCAGACTTCCCTTAAAGGGCTCTGGATTAACTTAATGGATTCACAAAGATTTACTAATCAAATCTGATATCCTCCTAGGAACATGGCTATCCCTGATCTACAGCTAAAGGAATGGTACCAAAGTTTTCAAACTGCACAGATATTCACTGACAGAATGGGAAGACAGAAATCCCAACACTCAGCCCCAGGCATTAGCTTAGTATTATAGAGAAAATGTTTGCAATGCCTGTCCTTCAGACAGCCTCTGCCAGAGAGGAAATGTGCATTTGGAATCAGGCAGGCACAAGATACTGAGCAACAGGTTCCAACTGTAGGGAAACAAAATGGTTCAGAATATTTTTTATAGGAGGAAAATGACAAATCCCATAAATGAACTTGACTTGATTTCAGAGATCCAGAAGTGAGGCAAGGATAAGAAATGGATCAACCCAAAGATAACAGATACCCCATTACTGCAGGAGTGCATATGGTGAATCAGATCTCATTTACCAGCAGCCAGTTCACAGAAAGGCCTATGATTTCACTTTTTTTGCTTTTGCTTTTCATTCAAGCAGCCACAGGGCAGGAAGGACCAAACCAAACATACCTCATCAGCTAACTCCAGGAGTTATCAGTCCAGTAAGGGAGCACATCCCCTTGTTCCCATCAACCACTAGCTGGCACCACTGACTTTTACAGGGTTTCTTACCAAAATGGGGATCCCTGCAGAATGGCTTTGCTTTTCTGCAAAAATACAGAACTGGATGTACAGTTCAGCTTCAGTGGAAAAGTGTAGGGAGTACTGACTACCTGCATTGACTGAACAATTCAGTTTCTGCCACCTTTTCTCCACGTAAAAAAAAAAAAAATTAAATGATACCTATATTCCTCATAACAGCACAGGGAGATAGAGAAAAAGGGAATGTGCTCCAAAGTACTTCCTGTACTTAGTCAAGGATTAAGTATTCTGTGCACAGTTACAGCAGTGTCTCCACAGAGGCAAACACTACACAATCTGTGTGTCATACTGCTTCTACCTCTGACAACCAACAAATCCACAAAGAACAAGCCAGGAGGTTTTCCTGAAGCTCCTGTGTTCTCCTTTAGCTCAGTCACTCTCTGGGACTGTACATCTTCACTCACCAACTATCTTTCCAAGAACACACATGAAAAGCCTCAAGATCATCTGGGTTTCTGATTCCATTACACAGAGGAGCATACAAAGACATAAATTGTACAGGAATAAAACAGGTATCTTGATAACATCATTAGCTGGCTAAAGAGCAAGACAGAATCCTGTGCTTTGGCTGGACTGGAGCCAGATCATCTATTCAGCTACTACCCAGACAGCTCCTGCATGAGGATGCCTGTGTCCAACAGCCAAGAGTGGGTGGCACAGCACACAAGGGGCCAGCACCGCATGAGCTTGGAGCCCCAGTTCCAGTATCACAGCAGGAGGATCTGTGAATAAGGAAGGGAGAAGACACAAAGCAAAGGAGAGAAGAAAGAGATATTCAAAGAGCCTCTGTTCATCAGCATCACAATATTTTATACCTTATTTCTATGTGCTTGAATTGTGAAATGGAAACAAAACTAATCCAGGTTCTGGAGTGGTGCAGTTGACACACCTGAAGGATGGGATGCCATCCAGAAGGACATAGGCAGGCTTGAAGGTAGGCCCATGGCCACCCCACGCAGTTCAAGTGCAAGGTGCTGCACATGGGTCAGGGCAGACCCCAGTATCTATCCAAGCTGGAGGATGAGCAGATCAAGAGCAGCTCTGCCAAAAAGGACCTGGGAGTGCTGGTGAGTAGGAGGCTGGACATGACCCAGCAATGTGTGCTCACAGCCCAGGAAGCCAACTGTGTCCTGGGCTGTATCCAAAGCAGCATGGCCAGTAGGGCAAGGGAGGGGATTCTACCCATCTCTTCCTCCCTCATGAGACCCCACCAGCAGTGCTGCATTCAGCTCTGAGGTCCCCAGCTCAGGACAGACATGGACCTGTTGGAGCAAGTCCAGAGGAGGCCACCAAATTGATTCAAGGAATGGAAAACCTCTCCTATGAGGAAAGACTGAGCAAACTGGTTTTTTTCAGCCTGGAAAAGAAAAGGCTTTGGGGTGACCTAACTGTGGTTTTCCAGTACCTGAAGGGAGTCTACAAGAAAAATGGAGAGAGGTTTTTTAATGAGCAGGCAGTAACAGGACAAGAGATTCTTCAAAAGTGGGAGTAGGTTTAGAAAGGTATTAGAAAAAGATTCTTCACTTCAAGTGGGGTGAGGCACTGGAACAGGTTGCCCAGAGAAGTTGTAGGTGCCCCATCCCTGGAATTTTTCAAGACCAGATTGGATGGAGCTCTGAGCAACCTGGTCTAGTGGAAGGTGTCCCTACCTAACCAGCATGGGGGTTGGAGCTACATGACCTTTAAGGTCCATTCCAACCCAGTCCATTCTATGATTCTACAAAAGATAAGTAAGTAAGGGGTAGGAAAGAAAATTGCCAAGGTTCTACTGCGGCTGTAAGGCAGTATCCTAGGAATGATACAGGGACACAAACTTATCCATCAAGAACAGCAGATGGACTTGGCTGATGGAGAAATTTCATTCTGGATTGTTCTGGCTTTATTCCAGCTCCATCTATACTGGATCTCATAATGTTTTAAAAGGAAAAGTGGTTTCCTTGATCCCAAGAGTATCTAAGCAAATGCTTTTAACATGCCTTGCCAATAAACGTAACTGCAACAAAACCACTTTACTGTGATTCACTTGGAATAAATATGTATAGTTCCTGGATAAAAAAAAAGTAATTGCATGCAGAGAGGGAGTTAATACTTCTGTTCTGAATTCTTCCTTACAACAGTCTCATTTTCATTCTATCTGCACTGCGTACCCCCTTGAGTCCCTCCCGTAAGGTCTCTGTAGTTGATTCAAATATGGCTGATGTGTACCTGAAGCTTAGATTCATTGACACTCTCTGTTACATGAATGAATGCTTTAGAACTGCAATAGAGTGAACTCTGTGGTTTCAGTCAGTGCATTTTCACACGATCCTTTGGAAAAGCTTGCTACTGATGTGCACAAGCTTGTTTGATTAATCAAAAAAGTTCAGTCTCCAGGAACAGGCAGAGGTGAAACAATTACCTTAATTCCTTCAATCCTGAAGCCAAGGTTGGCACTAGAGCTGATGGTTTCTCTCCACTGCATGTAGCGGGGTTTGGTGACAGCATGCTGGGCGTTCTCCTCAGCCGTGGGAGCAAGAGGATCCACTTCAATCATTTTCTTGTACATGTCCTTACGCAGCTTTGGTTTCTCTCGTGCCTTAGTCAACTCTTCCTCCAGGTATGTTCTGCAAACATCACGCCCCAACACATCCTTAAGGACTTTCCTCAACATTTCTTTTTACAGCTCACAAACTGGCCTCAAGAAACAACAACCAGGAAAATAAGCCTTATCACTGCCCCAGTTTTGCATAGGGGGAAACCAAAGTACACAGAGCAAAGACTGTGCAGGCATATTTAGTGAAACAGCCCCAGGAATCAGGAATTCTAATTCACTTCTTGTTCTAACTATATATAGTTATATAGCTATACCTTCACTTACTGTTACAAATTATGGTTATTTCCTGGTTACAGAATAGGAGGAAGCTGAATTCCCACTGTGCCATAAAACAGAACTGCATTTCCAGAGGACAGTTAAGAGCGATCACTTATGATGAAATAAAAAAAAAAACAAATAGGGCTATTGAAGACTTACTGCATTCTCTCTCCTCAAAAAACTTTAAAACAGCCACGGCTAATTTTTTTAGGCCTCAGAAAGTTTAAGTTTTACTTAATGCATCTCAGTGAAACAGAGAATCACTGTTCATACAGAAAAAACTAGAGTAAAGCAGATTATCAGAGTAGTTCCAAACCAGAAAAGGTAACTAAGAACAGGAAGGTGAAGGGACACAAAACTTCCACATTTTGCTCTTATCACTCAATCTGTTAATCCGGTAGCCATTAGAAAGGCACTATCCATGTTTTCCACATCCCACTGGATTCCCAGACCTTGCACTTTGTCAAGTGCCTGAAGTTTACTTTCTTCATCACAGCGTCACAAACCAGGATGGCATTTAGGAGATTATGTCACTCACTGTCAGAATGTCACCTATTTTCAAGAAAATGTGTATTGTTTCAAATCCTTCTCCTATTTCTCCTGAACATACCAGTGCAACATCTTCCTAATTCATTTAAAATTTGGCATCTATTTGAAAAGGCGTATCTGCACTCCTGTAAGTAGAGTAACTAATTTATGACAATAACTCTTGAGCATCTGAGCTGACATCCCAGCTGAAAGATTACTATGACAGCTCATACTTCTCTGTACTGTTGCCTTACTCTAGGATCTCAACAAATCTCTATCTCTTTGTTATGCTTATCATTTTTGATGTTTTCGTCTTAATCACAGACAATGAATGGAAAAGAAAGTGAGAACCTGGAGAACAAAGAGATGGCAACACCTCAAGATGTCAGAGCAGGGAAAACCACAGGTCAGTCCTGAGCAAATGGCTGACTCTTTAAAGAAAATATCAGTATCAGCAAAGACTCATTCAAGCATTGGAAATGGGTTTTCACACTGCTATGCAGTCATTTGCATTGGGAGATGGAAATTTTACTTTATGAGTCTTTCTGAATCACTGCATACACAAAGATTCAATGAACTGGCAGTGAATAAATCATGTCATTTTTTCCCATGTATTATCAGGCCACTGCAGAGAAACTTTGTCTTAAATCACCCCTGAACATTTCTTGATGTGGATAGTTTTTGAAGATATAGATCAGTTAGTTTCCAGAATCCATGTACAAATTGGCAATAATGGGACATATTGTCCTCAGGCTGTCCAAGGTGACTGTGAGCATGACCACACCTCCCCCTTCCTTCAAATGCAGAGAAAGCACATTCTCTTTCATTCACCCCACCTGATTCCCATCTTGCAGTCCATCACGCTTGGCCCTTCAAAATCAGTGAGCAAGTCATCCAGCTGGATGTAGCTCTCGCCATCTCTCTCCACCACGCCATGGAAGCAAGGGACGCAGGAGCGTAGTGGATCTTTCATCAATCGCTCAAAACACTCCTTTTCATTCTCTGAGAAGCGTTTGAGAATCTTCCCACTATCAGCTGCCTTGAAATTCCCTACAAAAAGAAAATCAAACACTTGCTGACAAGATTGACAAGCAAAAAAGAAAAACCCCTTCCCCCACCATTCCAGTTTCATCTATCTCAGTCTCATAGCAGCAGTTAAAGATTTCCCCCCTGAAGAGAAAAGGTGCTTTCCATAAAAAATAAAACACACAGGACAAACACTTGTTAGCAGTGAAAGTCCATTTGGATATATTCCCATGTCAGAATGTATCGCTTTAAGGAGTGCAGTTGCTTCAGGTCTTTGGATTTTTTTCCATGCTAGTCTTTGCTAGGTTATTAAACAGTACTATATTTACTAAAATGCAGAGGAAGAAGCCACGAGCCAGAATTCATTAATCCTCTGACAGGCTATTTTAAAGCTGCATAACACTGCCAGCACTGGCTTTGTCCTTAATCCTCACACAGGGTATATACACCTGCTGAGCGTGTCCAGACAGAGGCAGCACAGTCAATCAGTGATGCTTAAACAGCCAGAACCAGCCAGAAGCCAAGCACTGCCCCTTCCCCACCCACACCCACACACTGTGACTGCGCCTGCGTCTGCCTGCAGGTATTGCCTCTCCTCTGGAAACCTGCTTATCTGCTAATGCCCTGCAGGTACAGCCTGGAGGGCGACGGTGCTTTTTACAGCCCTGTGTCTGAATGGTATCCAGGACAAATGACATCTGCAGAGGCCACGGTTAGCAGTAATCAGCCTCCACCTGTCCAGAGTTTCCAAACGCTCTCCTATCCTTGCAACCTGCCAACAGCATCTGAGGAAAGTGCATGTTTCATCGAGAGGCACCCTTTAATTTAAACAAAATAAATTGGGCACCAAAGTAGGAGCCTCATTAACCCTGGGGATAACACTCAACCTTTACCACAGCGGGGTCCTTCAGCCATTGCAAACTGCTTCTTCTCTGACAAATCCTAGAACAGGCACTGCCTCAGCAAAAGGGCAAGGCTGGTAACAGCCCAGGTTCTAGTTCAGAAACAGTCATATCAGAGAAGAACAGCTGCAGAAAGGATGGAGTAAACCCAACCACAGAACACTGCTAAAAGGAAACTGGAACAGTATCTCTCCTAATCAGCTTCTATTAAACTCTTAACTCTCCTCTTCCACTATACAAGTCTCCAGAAGGGTTATGATTACATGACCAGGGCATCACTCCACACAGATGAAGTCAACTCCACACTTCTGTGACAAAAACTGCGTTAAGACTGGGTCATCTTGGTACTTTGTGTGATACAAATCAGACCCAACAATAACACAGTGTAAAATGCAGCTACTCAATTTCTAGGGCTCAGTAAATATCTCAGCACAGCTTTGAAGTGCTCCATATTAGGGCATCAGCATACACAGAGGTGGTTCACATACTGCATTACAGCACGATGCAGCGTGGGTGCCTGCCCACATGTGTACTAATAAACCCCCACCAGCACTGCACAGGAATTATATGAAGCACGAGAGACACAAACCCGATGACTTCTCTTTGTTGTTTTTTTGCCTTACAAAAGAAACTAAGCCTCCACCAAGAGCAGACCTACCAATTTTTACAGACACAAGACTAGAATCAACCAACTGAGCTGCTCCTTGCACTCATACAGTGAACAATGACAAACTCACAATGCAAACACGTGGTCAGCAAGGCAATTTTCCCATTTGTTTCCCACCCAAGGACCTACATTCAGATGAGGGGTTTGGAGTGGTATTAGAAACACTGTCCTTTCCAGGGCTGAAGCACAACAGGCATGGACAGTAATCCTTCTCCCTAGAGAACTAACTACTGGCTACTTATCCCATACCACAACCAACAGCACCAGACTGATTAGGGCTTTAGCTCCCCAACCTCTTGTTTCCCTCTAACAAGTATTTTACACATACCACCTTACAAGCCTGGCCCTTCTCCAGAGTCTGACCATTGCTTCCCTGCTGATCTCATTACTCAGGTATATCACTCCCACTTCCCTATCCACACCACAATTGAAATATGTTTTAGGTCACAGATTTGTGTGATATTTCCTGCTTCCTTTTTACCTGAAGGAAGGAAACAGAGAAAGACTGTTCCTCATGCTGCAGTCATCCTCACTCCAGAGACAAACACACTGAAGGTACCCCTCTCACCTGTATGCCCAGCCAGCTGCACCCATGAGTAGCGTTTCTTGAAGGGGCTGATGACTGGTAAGTTAACCATGGTTTTAATTGTATGCCATGCCTTTTTCTGGAAAAGAAAAGAAATCTTAAGTTGGGCAAAAGCTGAAATCCTGACACGCTACAAATGTATTACATAGCTTCATGCACATTGAATTGCTCCTCACTAACGTGTAAGTGCTCCAAGGTGGAACCACAAAACAAACACTATCATCATTGTTGGAAAAATATGCACACAAACCCAAGAATGGACAAATAAAGATAATGCCTTGCCATGCACAAGAAAGCTGCCTATAAGGAGGAAAAAAGAGTCATACTGCACGTCACAGGCCTGTTCTTAGCCACACCTCGCCCTCCGTGTGTGAGTCACACAGTATGTGGACAGCAGATGCTGAACGAACACACACATGCACACATACGCACATTTAAGTTTCCATGAGACATGCACATAAGCTGCTTGTCACTGTCAGCAACACTTCCTTTCCCAGAGAACTTCAGCATCACCTCATGATTAGCAGCTTTCCCCGGGTCAGCAGGTAAATCCTACTGGGACACCTGCATAGAAAGCGCATCTGTAGTCGGACACGGAGCTCACCCAGGTCCCTCAGCACCCATTGGCGTGCTGTAGAATCTACTCCAGGTCATGAATTTTCCTACTCCCTCCCCTCTTTCCCAATCCTGTTACTTTTTAACAAAGCTGGGCATTGCTCTGGCAACCTTTGGCTGCAGCTGTCTGGGTACCGCTGCAGGCAGACAGGGAAACAGAACAGCTGCTCACAAAGAGCAGCTGGGTGCTCTGTCACAAAGGCAAGAGGAAAGAAAAAAAGAAAGCAGAAAGTGAAAAAGTCTCATGCTCTGGAACTGAAACCCAGATGGGAGAGAACTACAGCCCACCAACGTTCATGTTACACTTGGAGGGATCCCAAAGTGCTTTACAAACAAGGAGAGCAGGAGCAGTTCTTCTACCACTAGAACACAACACCCTGCTGGAGAAGAAAAATGGAACTGCATTATACTTATGGCATGACAGTTTAGAGCTGAGGGGGTTTTGCTGAGATCAGGTGTAGCTGGGGATCAGGCTGCACTTAGAGAAATGTTTATCAATGTCCCAATTGGAAATCACCAAAATCAATGGGAGGTATTAATGTCACTGAAAACAAGTTTAGGTGCTTGCTCACCAACTGGAAAATACACATTCAAAACAACTGTGTCTTCTCCAGGATGGATATGGATCTAAATATTTAGGTGCTTAGGATACCTAATTTTTATTGTCTTCTACTCTAAGTGTAAAACAGAAAATGTGAAATTGCAGGCAATGACACACAGGCAAAATGTTGCTCTCCAGATCACTCTCCGAGCTGGCCACACCTCCCCAAACTTATTAACTTACACAACATCTGTTATAAGGTACCCTCCAGCAACACTGGTCACCATGTGAGGGAAAAACCTGCAGTTACCTTAGAATGCATCAAGACCATATATGATCCCACAGACACAAGGATTTTTTTTAAGGATTTGCCTTCACAAGAAAGTTTTAAGTAACGCTTCGAATTAAACAGACTTAACAATGTAATTGCCACATGAGCATACTTACTCTGAAATGAGATTGCTTCTATCCATTAAACTTTGGGTTTTAATGGAGTTCAAGCTGAAATTAATTCACTCTTAGTCAGATATGTGCCCCATGCATCAATGATACTTTTGAAAACATATTACGCCAGTGAGAAGAAGCATCCAGAGAAAATCCTGGATGTTTGAGAATTATGAAGACTCAGCTGCACTTACTAAAACTCCACAGATGTTACTAGCTCTAGGTAAACTCTAATTTCATAACTAACTTCTTCATATGCTACATTATTTCGATTTCATATTTCTTAAAATTTGCCTTAAGCTGCTCCAAACTGCAGCCTTGCAGTGCTGAACAGCGACTTGTGTCTATTGCAGACCCAACTGCTGTTCTGTGAGGATGAGAGAGACTCTTGTACACCACTTAAACATGTCCATAGCCTCCTTCTGGAGGAAAGTTTTTCAAGTAGCAAAGAAATTATTGTTGTGTAGTTCATTTGTGAGATTTCACCGATAGTAGAAGCTCTTCAGGCTACTGTGCTGTTTCTACTTCAGAAGGACAGAGCCTCGAGTTATTTAAACAATAGTTGAAAAAAAACCATTGTTATGAAGTAAAAAAAATTTACTTTTTGAATGTAGCTCCTGCCAAAGATTTAGTTTTTTAAGATTCCAGACCAGTTTTCAGGGCAACACTAGTTTTTCCCCATCCCTTAATCAGAAGTCAACATTGCTCCACAACTCTGTCATAAAGACCCCCCACACATCATAATGTTCCTCTCCTGACAAACTGCATCCTGTCTCCCAGTGGCTTGTCATACTGCTACACGCATCAGTAACGAGAAGCACAGATTCTCAACGAATGCACATCAACTGTCAATGCAACATCACACTCCAGTGGCTCTCCTGCCTCCTCCCTCCCACCAAATGCTAAGAAGCTGAAGCTTTTATTTGTACTGTGGGCGTGAAGGAGAAACAATGGGCCAAATTCAGCCCTAGCTCAAGTGGACTTTGGCTGCTTAGATTACGGCTGCCTTGGATAAGGATGTTTAAGCTACTCATCCAATAAATAGACACTGACAATTTTTATTTACCTTTTTTAATTATAAATAATCTCTTCACAAACCTCTCCTCCCCCTCAAGATAAGGAAAGTAGAAGGCTCAAGCTAGGAGGGAAAGGATTGCCTTCAGACCCGTCCTGTAGGGAGTGTTGCCATCAGCAGGGGTTCAGCAGTTTCACTTTCCTCTACCTCAATTTCTAGTCTCCCAGCTCACTCAACCCAGGGTACAAATTGCCAGGATGCAAGCAGGGCTGCATGCTGGTAGAGCAGTGGTGTGAGTGGGAAGATGAAAACTTTGTGTGCTGGCTGTAGGAGGAATCATTCTCACTTCTATTTCTAAAGCAAGATCTCTTCTTCTTTGTTAGCAACGGCATTATGTGCTTTTCAAATCACTGCTTTATGCTGCAATGGCAAAGAGGGCTTCTACCACTGCCCATCTGTATTTGCAGCCTTATCTCCCTCTGACCCTGTTTCTTCTAGATTCCTGCTCAGTCCTCCTTGATTTTTTGCTCTGCCTGGGTTTCTCCAACATTTCACTTCTTCTAGATTCCCACATGAAACTCAGGTATCTCTGTATTGTATCTGTATTGCATATTGTATTCAGGATTGTCTGAACTGACATCACTGATACTGTTCTATATGCCTCAATATGCTCAAGAATTTTCCAACAGTAAGAAGAAAGGCATTCCAAAAGAGTCAAGAAGCAAACCTGAAAAATATTAACATTCTTAGACTCAGTAATTTACTCGATGTGAACTTTAATTGACACATGATATAAACCCCACTGAGCAATAAAGAGAGTGGGGTACTAAAGTGGGAAAAGCAAGTTTTCTGCCAATGGGGCAGACTATGTGACAGTCTGTGCCATGGCAAGTGTGCCCCTGGCAGAAAACAGACAAAATTTCAGGGAAGAGAATGGGAGAAGCAATTCACACAATGCAGCCACAGTACATGCAAAAGAACTGTGGCTTGGTATCTGGTCTGCTACCTGGATTACTCTCTTGACTCACTTTCCTAAATTTGGAGCACAGCTCTGAAGAGGAGCACATATCCATGCAGCAGATGTGGAGACCTGCTCAGTGCATATGCAGACAAGATGCATAGGTGAGGTATTCCCCAGCTATTCTATCCTGGATAAAGGTGGCTGCTGCCATCGTGTCTATCCATTACGGGAGAGCAAAGAGCAGCGGTAACCGAGCACCACTGGTTTGTGTGAGCACACCTCTCTCCAGGCCTTTTCTCATGGTAAGCATGCAACCAGTGTGCAGAAAAACAGCCATGATGAGCCTGCACAAATACACCAGAGGACCTGCCTGATGAAAATCCACTGAACCCTCTGGGAGGTATTTCATCCGTTTGAAGGAGTTTGGCCTCAGACTCCACTGTTGACAAGAATAAGAACTACCAGGCTTTCCTGAAACCCTCCCATCACTGCTGGACAAGAGCTGCAACATCCTAATAAGCAAGCTCACTGAAGAGATTAGTGCAAACTCCCTGAACTGGATGGAGCTTTTTTAGTTGCTGTTGTTGTTTTTCAGGCAGTACAGAACACCTAGCATCTCTCTGAGCATATGCTGAATCCCTCAGGAACAGGAGAGCCACTCTAATTCCTAAAGGCAACAGTGGATAGGGACCTGAACATTCCTCTGCTGTTCTATGGAAAAATAAATAGAATCTCTCACTTATTTAAGGGTAAAAATGAAACAATATCTCAGTTCTGTGAACATCTGAAACATATGTAACCACCCATAGGCAAGAAACGACAAACAGGTAACATACAAAAGAATTTGTTTCACTTAGGACTTTTCAGCAATTACACATCAGTCACATCTAAATTAGGAAGCGTTGGGGGAATAAGAAAAACGTTTTCTTCAGAAAAATGAAGTAATTCAGCTTTCATAATTCTAGCATATTACTTGATACTATAATGAGTTGAAGAACAAAAGAACACTAAAACTCAATATAAATCAACAGGGTTTTTAAAAATATCCATGATTCCATCAGCAGCAGAGTGGAGGTGTAGTTTCTTGCCTGAGCTGGTAAATCATCATGGAAATTCTGCTGGGCTATTGTAAACAATGACCCTTTAATCATTTTACTGGGTAAATTTCAGCCATTTCTTTACCCAAGATTCTGTTGTCTTTTTTTTTTTTTTTTGTTTTTGCACACTAGTACAAAGCCTCCATAAGAAAGCTATCATGACAGCAAGAAACAAAAGGATAATGAGACATTTTTTTAGCAATCCCTTTTTTTTTTTCCTAGAAGGCTTTAAGAAAGAGTACTTAATTGTCAGTCATCATGATCTACTGTTCTCTTAAAGTCTTTACATCACTTAGGCTAAATTCTGCCACTCTGGGACATGGGGGCTGAAATCTTATCTGTAATGCTGGTTGCCACTGCCTACTCAGTGTCTCACCAACTCCTGAAAGGAACAAAGTTCCTCCAC